GGCCCTAATGCCCTAAGCCAGCCCAAAACCCTAATCTGAATCCCTAAAGCCGAGACATTCCCGAGTCATTCAAAAACCCGATGAGTCGAGTACGTCTTACAACCCGCCCGAAAACCCAGACATTCCCTAACCATTTAAAACCTGACTTAGGATTTAAGTTTTGGGTTCTACAATTCCTAAGAAACAGCTAGCAGCACAATTTTTGGGTAGGGTTCCAAGTTCAGTATAGATGAGTTGAGCATGTTGATACTACGCCGGGGGAGCCTGCCTTTGGGATCCTGGCTTGGAGCAGCGCTGGCGGTGCCGGGAGGCTGGGAGTGTGCGTTTGGGTTCCGGGTTTGGGGCTGAAGGGTTTGGGATTCAGGGTTTAGCGTTTACCCTAAACCCTAAACCCTAAACCCTAAACCCTAAACCCTAAACCCTAAACCCTAAACCCTAAATGAACCCTCTTGGGGCTTAAGGGTATGGGGCTTACGGGTTCAGGGTTTCGAGCTTTGGGCTGCTGTTGAAGCCCTGAGCCCCCAATCTGGAATTCAGGGAGTGGTTTGCACGATGCTCTGTTTAGGGTTTAGGGTCTAGGGTCTAGGGTCTAGGGTTTAGGGTTTAGGGTTTAGGGTTAGGGTTTAGGGTTTAGGGTTAGGGTTTAGGGTTTAGGGTTTAGGGTTTAGGGTTTAGGGTTTGGGGTTTAGGGTTTAGGGTTTAGGGTTAATGGGTCTGTCATCCAATCTGTGCCCTCTGGGCGGAGTGAGCTTGTGTGACTTGGAAAATCTAGGGTCGGAATAATTCCTAATGATAGTCCCTTGCAGTCCCGAACCCCCCCCCCCAAAAAAAAAAAACAACAAAAGACCCTATTCAAACTATAAAGGGCCCCATATTAGGACCTTGGGATATGTTGCATTTTCCCATCTAGACCTAGGCAGACCCTACACCCTAAACCCAAACCCCTAACCCCTAAAACCTAAATTAGGGTTTAGGAGGATCTTGTTAGAGGGTTCAAAGGGCCAGCTTTGATGAAGTTGGGAGGACCCACCTGAATCCACAGCTTCACAACGGGGGTTTAGGGTTTGGGGTTTCGGGTTTAGGATTTAGGGTTTAGGGTTTAGGGTGTAGGGTTGTGTGGTGTACGCTTCGTGCCCTTGTGTGCGCGTGCCTTCGCGCCAGGGGGTTCGGTGGGGGCTGCGGTCCACCACCTGAGCTGCAAACTTTCCCCAGATGGGCCCCTGGGCTGCAGAAAAGCTCGTTTTCGGGTTTCGGGTTTAGGGTTTAGGGTTGGGTTTTAGGGTTTAGGGTTTGGGGTTTGGGGTTTTGGGGTTTAGGGTTTGGGGTTTAGGAATTGGGGTTTGGCGTTCAGGGTTTAGGGTTTGGGGCTACAAGGTGACTTGCGGGGAACGTCGATGTGATTGCCGAGCTGAGGCGGCCAAGCTGGTACGGGCGTCATCGGCTATAAGGGTCAACCGGCATCTGGCATCTGGGAAGCCTTCTAGGGTTGAGGGTTTAGGGCTTAGGGTTTAGGGTTTGGGGTGTAGGGTTTGGGGTTTGGGGTTTAGGGTTTATGGTTTAGCGTGCAGGATTCAGGGTTCAGGGCCCAGGGTTTAGGGTTTAGGTTACTTCGCACAAACCCTGGCCCAACTTTGCAAGACCCTGAGCCTGAAGCCCTCAAATCCCAATAAATCTGTCCACGACTCGGATACAAGATGCCGGACTTGACACCGGAGGAGTACCTACGCCAAACGTTTCTCTGCGGTTGTAATCCTGGGTCGGGACCTTTGTGTGCCGTCCTGTGGCAAAGACTCTGTTCAACTGCTGGGCTTGCCCCTGGCCGTGGGGTTTAGGGTTTAGGGTTTAGGGTTTAGGGTTTAGCGTCTCGTAAGATCCGTAGGAATCATGTAAAGCACGTAACCCAAGCCCCTCAAACCCCATAAAGCCCGAAACCCAGGTTTAGGGTTTAGTCTTTACGGTTTGGGGTTTAGGGTGTAGGGTTTAGGGTTTTGGGCTTAGTCTGTCAGGCACAGGAGCAGTTCAGGGAGAGAGTGCCAGGGGCGTGGACAGCGGTATCGATTTTCACAACCCGCTTCTGACACAAGATTGTGCTCGATTTAGGGTTAGGGATTATGGTTTAGGGTTCAGGGTTTAGGGTTTTAGGGTTTAGAACTCTGAAGGGAGTCGGTATCTGGTATCTTGTGTGCTGCAGGCAATTAGTGTGCGTTTGATCGCAGATGAAGAGAGCCGAGCTTTCCGAAGTACTCGAAAGTCTCCAACGGCTATTCTTTGGAAGCACTGGTGTCTTGTGATCGATTGGAGGGAAGTCCGGCTGAAGTAAAGCATTTCAAGGCTTTCCATATCCCAGGGTGTCAAGAATGCAGGCACCTGGGCAACGGACTTGGTACGGACCGTGGCAACGGGCAAGAAAGCACAGAGCAACTCCGCAGGCTTTTTTCTTTCCATTCGGGTACCTTATCAGGACCTTCTCCATCTTTTCAAGTGGCCCTAATGTAGAACAACTCCCTCCACCACCGCCCCCGCCATTGGGGAGGCAGCCTGACGGGATTCGGCCCATGCTTCATGTGGGGGTTGATCCCCTAAGGATCCATGTACCTATATCGTATGTACTTGGGCCTTAAAGAGGTTCCTATATCGTAGCTTTAGGGCCCAAGTATATACTACATAGGTACATGGATTCTTATAGGGATCTCGATTCAACGAGTCTACGCTGAATCTGCGTGGCCCCAAGCCTCTGAGACCTTTGCACACTGAGAAGTTCCATGATGAGCAGTCAGGTGGCCCACAAGCTTTCGTGCCCCCAAGTTCTCAGAGTATGGACCACAGAGGGTGTAGGGTTTAGGGTTTAGGGCTGTTCTAAGGGAGTAGCGACACGGTCCCTGTGGTCCCTTGCCTTCCTTAAGGCGGGTTCTGAAGTATGGGCCCTTGGGTCGTGTAGGGTTTTTGTAGGGTTTTTGCGACGTATATACTTGCTGCCAAATCAAGGGTTTGAAGCGAAGCCCTAAGAGTTGTGTTCGGGGTGTGCCGGCCGCTCTTCTTGAGCGGTTTGCGGTTTAGGGCTTCCATGGTCTAGGCCACAGCCCCTACACCACCAAACTCCCGAACTCTAAGCCCTAAACTCCTAAACCCTAAATTTCCCAAGCCCTAAACCTTAAACCCCAAACTCCTAAACCCTAAGTTTCCCAAGCCCTAAACCTTTAACCCTAAACTCCAAAACCCTAATTTTCCCAAGCCCTAAACCTTTTACCCCTACCATGGAGGCTCCCTGAGCTCCGCGGCTCCACGGGCACTGGCAGCACTGAGGTGGGAGTATGAGGGCTCGAGGGCTTAGGGTTTAGGGGTCTAGCCCTAAACTCTAAACCCTAAACCCTAAACCCTGAACCCTAAACCCTAAACCCGAAACCACATAAAACCTAGAACCCAATCTCTTGAAATCAGACGTGAGGTGTCCATAGGGGGTAGTCTATAGGTCACAGAGTCGCTTTCACGGAAGGCTTTGGTTTTTTTTTTAAGCCGTTGTTGACAATCAAAGGTCTCTCTTGGGGAAATCCCCCTGGTTCTTAGTATGGAATGAGGGAATCAGGTCCCTATATGTACATATATATATATATACATACACCCTGTAGGGGACTCATTCCCTCATTCCCCTTCTACGAACTTTCTAGACTAACAAACTTTCTGGAATCAAGCGCAAAGTTTCTGCTGCGGGTATTCTAAGCCGAGGGGCCTTCTCATGGGAAAGCTCGGGCTTGCCGAAGGGTTTAGGGTTTAGGGTTTAGGGTCTAGGGTTTAGGGTTTAGGGTTTAGGGTTTAGGGTCTCATCGAAGGTCTTTCGGATCCGAAACCCATCTCCGAAAAAAGATCTCAGTGGCAGGCGACAAAAAAAATCAAGGTCAAGGTTTCCGTTGGGTGTATCTACTGTGGGGGTCGGAATAATGACAAATAGTATTCCCTTATGGCCCCTATGTGTTTTGTTACTCTAACAACCCCCAAAACCCTGTTCTAATTATGGCGGCCTAAACCCTAAACCCTAAACCCTAAACCCTAAACCCTATATCAGGCCTCTCTGGTCCTTTCGGGTCCAAGATCGTAATCCGAGCATTCGAGAAACCAACTGCCGGAGACGACGGGGCCCTTTCGAGTCCAAGGTTTAGGGTTTAGGGTTTAGGGTTTAGGGTTTAGGGTTTAGGGTTTAGGGTTTAGGGTTTAGGGTTTAGGGTTTAGGGTGATTTCCGATCCGACCTGTGTTCGAGCAGCCAGACTTCTGGCTCTCAAGTTTAGTGGTTATCAAATGTATGGTCTTGGCCGGTAGGGCTTTGGCCTGTGAGACAAGGGCGCCAGCAAGTCACCACCCCCAGGCAAGATAGCATCAAACCAGTAGCAAGGCTACTTTTTGCGAAGTCCAAAGCCCGCATAGGCTTTACAATGCTGGGATCTAATCCGGACGGAAGGCAAAGGGGGGATAGTTTTGCTCAATCCCCGCGTATGCTGTGTTCGCCAGGTGTGATGCATTGTGCTCCTGAGGAGCTGCACTGCCCGCCATCATGAGCGGCATCTGCCAATAGCAGGGCCATCATATGTATAGCCCACTCTCAGCCTATCCAGTCCTCCATGAATCTCACCAAGTCGTTCAGGGATCAATTATTAAATCAATTATTCGTATTCAGGGCTTTTTAACGTCAAGACACCTTAAATAAATACTCGTATGAATATTGGGGAGAGCTGTCAGAAGCATGCCAGCCCTGGCATGCTGCTACCTTTAAAGCCTCTTGCGCAGTCCTGGAGTTGGGCTGAGAGCAATGCAGCGCCAAAAACCGATGCCGCCGTGGAAAACGCGCGAGCTGCTAGTGTCGGCTTATCGTACCTACTATAGTAACCAATTCTAGTAACTATTATCGTCAAACAATATGATAGAAACTAGATATTGTGGTACCTAGTATAGTACCTATTATGGTACGTATTTTAGTACTGAGTATGGCTTCATTGTGGGCCGCGCGGCCATGGGCTTCTTGAGCATCGTGCATCATAGCGCATTCCCTGAACCCTAGCAGTTGCGAATGTTCCCTATCCGAATTCCGAGAAGGTTACGGACGTCTGCTGCGTCGTATGAATGAGCCACATCGTTGGTACGCGCAAGGGCTTGAGGTCATGCCTTCGCGGGCATCTATGCGCTCAAACAGCGTTGTCAGGCAGGGAGCTTCGGAGTTGAACCCGCCAGCATCCATTGGTTTTAAAATGGACATCCGCATAGTATGAACCCCGGGCAGATCTAATGCCGCCTGTCATTGTGGTAGGATTGAAAAGAGCCCGAGAAACCCTAAGCCCTAAGCTCTGGGTTCAACTCCACGGGCTCCCAATCTCTCCCTTCCGTCGCGGCCGCATGCAGTCGAAGGCATCTTCCTCGCGCCTGGCCCGAATCGCTGGGCTTTCTAGGAGGTTCATGGTACTTACCAGCCAAATAGTCAATACTAGGGCAATTGAGGACTTATATTTTAAGTGGATTATAAGTAATAAGTATCAATGGTTATTAAGTACCACGACCCTCCAAGGAGGTTTGCAGTACAGGGTTTGAGAGGAGGCCTGGTCGGTTGGAATAGGGTTTAGGGTTCAGGGTTTAGGGTTTAGGGTTTTTCGGGGTAGGTTAGGTCACGCAATGTGTGGGGTTGCTCCTGTCTTCGGGTTGCAACTCCGCCTGAATCGGCCTCCTGACTGCACAGTTCTAGAATGCCTTCTGCCCATGGGGGTAGGGTTTAAGTCCAAGTTGCGACGCTTGCAGTTTCATGCTCTTTCAATGCCCAGAGTACATCCTCCCACTAGGCTTTAGCGGATTCCGATTTGCCGAATCATCCAACTGTGCGTACGAAAGCCCATGCGATTTCAAGCGTGGTAGAAAGTAGGTGAAAGTAGTGCATCCGCTTAGACCCGCGACCCTGCACCCCCAACCCCCCAAGCCTTAAAGCCCCTATAATAACACTAAACCCCCCAACCCCCCTCAAAGCCCCGACGCCAACGCTGTAAATTGCGCTTCCGCAAAAAAGTCAAAAGTCTAAGCCCCGAAACCATGAACCCCCCAAAGCGCCCCCGCAAACCCTAAACCTCCCCCAAAGCCCCCCAAATCCTAAACCCCCCAAACTCCCCAAACCCTGAGCCCTACTTCGTGAAACTCCGTGCAAGGGCAGCGCTTGTGTTCACCGCGGGAAGCGGCCAAGTGACGCACCGGGTCCTTTGCTACGGCGACAGCTTGACCGCAGGCTTGATTTGTCGCCGGGATGTAGGGTTTGGGGTTTTTGAGTTTAGGGCTTTATCTAATAAACTCAATAATTTCGACCACTTACTTGATTAACACTAATTTAAAAAAACAGATTAAATTCCTTTAAGTACTTCATTCAGGGCTGAATGAATTCGCTTTTTTGGGTTTACGGTTTAGGGTTTAGGGTTTAGGGTTTAGAGCTTGGGTTTGGTTTTAATTAGGGCAGGTAGACTAGAGTTTGGGCTGCAGAGGGAGGCAGTGGGTTTCTGAGTCGGATGTGGTTGATTGGAGGGTAGAAAGGGGGGTATAAGAGATTAGGGTTTAGGCTTAGGGTCTAGGGTTTAGGGTTTAGGGTTTAGGGTTTAGGGTTTAGGGTTTAGGGTTTAGGGTTTAGGGTTTAGGGTTTAGGGTTTAGGGTTTAGGGTTTAGGGTTTAGGGTTTGGGGCTTTTTTAGGGGGATACAAGGTTCAGAGGATCGTCTTCAGGAATTTCAGAGGGTTTTTTCGGGGCCATGCTCGTGGCGCATGGCTGTGAAGAGGTGCCTCTTGCTGTTGGCCAAGTGTGCACTTGCTATTCAGTTGCAAAGGTGCAGGGCTCGCTGCGACGAGGTGTTGGTAACCTTTTTGTTGCACTCCTTTTTTTGTTTTTCTAGTTTTCTGTTTTTGTTTGTTGTTGTTTTTGTTTATTTTGTGTTTTTGTTTGTTGTTTTTTCTATTTTTCTGTTTTTGTTTGTTTGTTTTTTTCTGGTTCGTTTGTGGAGGACCCAGCAAGCAAGCACTTGGGCGAGTGCGCAGCAAGTAAGCCGGACAGCCAGCAGTGGCTGTTTCGTGCTCAAGCGCCAGCTGCCCGCGTGGGCGATGGACAACCTCAGAAAAAATGCCCGGCAAAGCCACGAAATATGTCAAAGATCGGGGCCCTCTTGGATCGACGCACCATACCTGGGATGAATGCCGCTGCAGAACACCTTCCACAATAACCAAGCCATCAACCACCTCAAAAAGCCGACAATGGAAATAATGGACGACCACGACGACGGCGACGGCGACTCCTACTGCTCCTGCTACTGCTACTGCTACTGCCCTCAACCCCAAGGCTTAAGGCCCTAAACCCTAAACGCTGGATCATAAACCCTGGTCATTGGAAACACAATAACTTGCAGGTTTCTACTCTGGTGGACGATGGTTTCAGCCCTATGGACGAGCGCTGGCGAATGAAATGGCAGCTTATGGCCTATCCTGCTCCCTTGCCTGCAGGTTTAAGGTTTAGGTATCTTGGTTTCCCCTGTATTGTTCTTTAAGGGGTTCTCGGCCTGTCGAACCCTTTAAGGTACTATCCGGGAAACCCATAGTTCCCAAGTTCTCTCAACCCTACCCTACCAAGTGCCAGTAAGTGACGTTTCTTCTCTGCTGCGAGGGCTCCTTTCGGTCGCTTCAGTGTTGCTTTCGCTCAGAGGTTTAGGGTGTAGGGTTGTAGGGTTAGGTTCGGGCAAGGTAGGTCGAGGAAGTTCTTCCGTTCCTTTCCATCTCACCAGTATTTCGTCAACACTCGAATATTGCAGGCGGTGTACACGTTCGTTAGGCGGCGACAGGTGCAGAAGGCACTTAAACAGCCTCTTTGGACGAAGGCTCACATGAGCTCCTCCGCCACGCTGAGGCCATGTCTCGGTGTGTGGTCTCACGGGCAAGTCTGCAGAGGAAATGCTCCTCGGGGTCAACACCAGCTTGGTGGATCAGTGTGGCATCGCGTGGAAGGACCGGGTGGCGGATCGGCAATTGCAAGCTGAGGGTTCCAGGCTCTGAAGGTGACCCTTTCTTTTGAGAAGTTAGGGTTTAACTAGTTTAGGGTTCGGGTTTAGGGTTTAGGGTTCAGGGTTCAGGGTTCAGGGTTCAGGGTTCAGGGTTTAGGGTTTAGGGTTACGGGTTACGGGGTTTGGGGTCTTGGTGTGGAGGTGGTTGAGGGGGGTTCGTGGCGAGCCGACCTGGTCCTACACCCTTTTCACCTATACCTTATAGCTGTCCTTATCAACCATCGGATCCCATAGGATCCATGAGTACTTTTCCCCAAGGAAGACCATGTGCCCCACAGCCCCGAAGGCCTCAGAACGTAGGGCGCATTTGGCTATAGCCCCTTATGCCCTCCCTTACACGCCCCCCTGGCTCCTTTTGCTGCGACCTACGTCCTAAACCCTAAACCCTAAACCCTTGAAGATGTGCAGCCAAGGTATGTGACTCAACCTCGCCGACGGCCCCGCATTCCCTTTTTTTCGGTTCAGGGAAATGGCTACGAAGAAGCCCTTGAGCCCCAACGAACCACATCGTGAAGCAGAGCTTTACGTACATTCAGTCATAAAGGCATCTGTAAGCAGTATGAGCAGAGCTCTACATGATGCATTGTCTGTGGTAAGCTGTACAAAAGCCACATAAGGACGAAGCATCTTGCTTGCCGTGGAAAAATAGACATTCAATTCGCTTGTGTTGCCATGGAGCCCCAACTGCCCGGATCCCCATGTGATCAGCATGAGGGGGACATGCAACAAGAGGTTATGGTCGCCCAACCGCCAGCTGCGCAAGCAGCAACTCTGCAAGGACCAGTCCCGAATGGGATGGACCAACCTCAAGTCCAGGTGAACTTGGCCACTGGACAAGCTACGACAGCAAGGTCGGGAGCCACAATCCTGCAGGCAGATGTGGATGGCGCTGGAGCAATGGATGAGACGGTGTCCTTTGCTGGAAGAGCGGACGTCCCGCCGAGTACCCAGGACCTTGGTAGCTCACTGGAACCAGAACCCGCAGCGCGGCGAAGTCAGGCAGTGGAGGAAGCATCCATGACGAACTTTGATCGCGGCGGAGCTGGAGCTGGTGAACAAGCTGCAGGGGTCTCGCAGGTGGCTTCGACTGGTTTTGCAACCCCGAGATCCATGAGAAATGGATACAGCGGGGGTGCTCCGTGGGTGGCAGGATTGGAGGTTCCGGCATGGGTTTCCAGGCTGGGATCGTATTTGTCACTGGCTCCACAGAATGATCTCCTGCCTAGCCCTCTTGGGGGAAGCCAGGGATCCCAGAGGTCACTGCCGGGTGGCCCAAGTTTCGTGCTGCGTAATAGCAGGCCGACGCCATCACCTCCGACGCCAAGTTCCTCGAGTTTGCCCCAGGAGGCGATTCAAGCTGAAGTGCAACGGCAGTTAGGCCAGGTGCTGCAACGTCTACGAGTGGCGGAACAACGGAACGAGGAGCTGGAGAGTGAGTTGGCAACGCTGAAACAGGGAGGTGGTGGTATGAGGCAGCCAGCCTTTCCAGGGCTGGAATCAGGGGATGTTCAACAAGTTCGTCCTTCTCGAGTACCAGATCCACCTGAACACGGACGAGATCCAGACCTTGAAGAGCGGGGACCTGGAGAGGTGCCGCTGCCACCAGAACTGGAAGGAGGACCGGGTACCTCAGAGTTACTCCGAGATGCAGCCCCAGGAAGAACTACATCAGCAAGAACGTCAAGGGTGGCAACTTCTGGAGGTATAACAGAGGGAATCCGATCCCTTTTGGGTGGAGGAACTAGGCCCCCAACACCGCCTATTCCACGGGACCCGTCAACACCGAGGGAGAGTCCAGTGCTGGAAATGTTGGCACGGGGCATGAAGCAGCTGCAAGACATTCAGGCCCAGACACTGGCGAGATCCCCGTCGTCACCTTCGCAGTCAGAAGTGGTTAAGCCGGGAACCTTGACCCTGAGTCCTCTGCCTGAGTATCGAGCTTCTGATGGTGCAGGTTCCTCGGCGCTACAACTGCAAGATTGGCTGGAAGTGGCGGCAACGGTCCTGGCGGATGTGAGTGAGAACAGTGGGGCATGGTGGTCTGCGGTCATGGACTTGGTCAACGAAACCTACAGCCAGTGGTTGGCGGCCACGCCATTGGAGCGACTTCAGATCGCACCGAAGGGAGCCGAAGCCCTGTGCACTGGCAGATGGACAAGGGTCAATGCGAGGATTGCTTCGATGCTGTTGACGGCGATGGGCGAGGAACTTCGTGGAGAAATGGTTGGCCAGAGGATTACCCAGAGCTCACCACGGATGGTCTTCCGCCTCTTCGTTTTGTTCCAGCCGGGAGGGAGTGCTGAGCGGCAAGAGGTGCTAAAGAAGCTTCAAAATCCCAGCGAGTTCCTCACGGGAGATGGGCTTGAAGATGTGCTGAAGGCAGTGAGGGCGTGGCCGAGGTGGCTAGCACGCTGCATCTCAGTCAACATGTCACCGCCTGATGCATCGGTCATGGTTAGGGGATTGATGAACCTCACCACCAAGTACATCTCCATGTCCCCAGATGCAGCCTTCAGGACGGCGATGCTGAGGACCTCACTGCGATTGGACGCCAGGCCCACGATCTCCCAAGTTCAAGAATATCAACGGCATCTGCAAGCTGAGCTGGAAACCTTGTTGTCCTCGACGAGTACGGTGGCGACCTCATCAGCAACGGCAGGAGCACCAAAGATGAGGGCAATGGAGGCAACCTCAGGCCAGAAGACGAAGGAGAAGGAAAGGGCCGGGAGCGAGATGTGCCGCTACTTCATGAAACCCTCGGGATGCAGAAGAGGGAACAGGTGTTCTTTCTCCCACAACATGGCGAGCCTTGACAAGGAGACCCGGGCACGGAAGTGTTTGCTGTGTGGTGCAGAAGGCCATAGGCAGCGAGAGTGCACGGTGAATAAGTCCGGGGCAAAGCCTAAGGCGTCCTCTGCAGCGACGACGTCAATGGCCAAGACTGGGGACACCGCTCCTTCATCCTCCCAACCGCCGGCGATGGCAGCGATAACTGGACCACAGGGTGAAGGAGGAGATAACACTGTCCAGGGCGTACCCTGGACTCTCGAGTCGCTTCTGCAGGCGGTCCAGGCCCAGGTTGTGCACAATGCTTCAGAAGGGGAAAAGAGCCTGGAGAAGACCCCGGCAGCAAAGGTATTGATCGTCCGGGACATCAGGGTGTGCTCTTTGAGGTCTTCGTCTTCGGCGTTGCTGGACTCCGGGGCAACTCACTCCCTTAGGAGTGCCGTGAGTTGGGATGAGTGGTTACGGTCTGAGGAGGTGGAAGTGCAGCTAGCTGGGAATCATTCCTTGAAGATGAGGATGAGCGGATTGGATACCCTGCTGATGCCCCCACAACCTAACCACGACCCGATGGCGCAGCAACCTCAGACCATCGTCCCGCTTGGCGAGCTGGTGAAGATCCTTGGTTATACTATGAGGTGGTCGAGGGAGGAATGCACACTCGAGGGTCCCGATGGCGAGATCATCCACCTGAGCACCAACTCTGGATGCCCTCAATTGTGCGAGGCCGAGGCGCTAGCGCTAATCGCTAGATTGGAGGAGAGGAAACGGGAGCAGCTGGAGAACGAGACGCTGATCACAGAGGACAGGATTACTCGGATTGCATCGTGTATGGATAGGTCCTGGTTTGAGTACCTCTTGAACTACACCAATGGGGGGCCAAGAGAAGCAGGACTACGGGCCCTTCGCGATGCGCCCTTCTTTCAGGGAATTCCGGGGGAATGTCTCAGCGCCTTGATCCCTCCTGAAGAGCAATCCAGTGGGTGGGAAACTTTGAAGAAGGTCACCTACTTGACTCGACCCCAACGGAGAACTCTACTCTCAGCCAAGAAATGGGTCGTGCACCTCTTTGCTGGTGAGGAGGGCCACATGGAATTCTTCCGACAACACGATGGAGACACTGTGGTCCTGGAGGTTGACATCAGGCAATGCCGGGGTCATGACCTGTTGGGGGCGTCGCCTACCTGGAAGATGCTTTTGTGGGGTGCAAGATCGGGAAAAGTGGATATGGTGTTTGGAGGTCCTCCAGGGAGAGATGGAAAAACGTTTCTTCCCTTTGCCCCCGAGGAGACCAACCTCAAGCCCCTTTCCTTGATCTGCCGAATGCTTTGGTTGTTCGTGGTGGCATCTGCGGGAAGAATGACAACGGCAAAGGGAGCTACGAGGCACAAGGAGGTGGGCTTCATGATTGAGCACCCGGGAAAGTCCGTATCCACACCATCGGCCATCAGGGAGGGACGACCATTCCTGTGGGAGACCAGAATGTGGCAAGAGTTTGCGATGGAAACCGGCATGTTCGAGGTGTCCTTTGAGCAGGGGGGGACCGGAGCAAGCACAACGATGAGCACGGTGCTGGGGACAAATATCCAGTACCTCAGAGGCTTGGAGGGCATCAAGGCCGATAGCAAGCCCGAGACCACAACTCCTCAGGAGGTGGATCAAAGTCGCTGGTCACCTGGGCTGGTGAAGGCCCTGGTTGTTGCGTTCCACATGTGGTCAAGGAGTCCCCAGGTCTATGCAATGAGTCCAGAGCAGTGGAAGAAACACGTTGATGCTTCTCACCTCCCCTACAGGAGGGATTGTGCCACCTGCGTGATGGCAAAGGGAACTGGACGGCGCCATGGTCGTGTAAGCCATCCCGACAGCTATGTCCTCACTTCCGATTTGTCGGGCCCCCTGAAGGCAGGATTGGATTCGGCGGTCAAGGGAACCCCGTCGTGCAACATCCGGTACTTGCTCGTGGCAAAGTATTTCTTCCCCAAGGACTTCGTGCGAGCCTACAGTGGGAAGGAGCCCCCTTCCAATGAAGGTATGGAGCATAGCCCGCTTCCTGAATCGCAGGGAGACAAGGACAACCTTGAGGAGGAGCCCGGAACATCAGTTCTTGATGAGATACCGGACTATGAGCTGTCAGAACAGGAGGAGTTACCCGATGACCGAGAACCCTTGCTTGAGGATTGCGATGGTGGTGGCGAAGCGGACGACAAGGAAGAGGAGGAGCCACCTGAAGGGGAAGGAGGTGATGGGGGTAAGCCAGGCCATGCTGCGATGAGAACTGGTGATTGCAATCCTCCTGAGATGACATCGCTGGTTTTCGCTGTTGGGATTCCCAATAACAAGGCGAGCACCATCAAGGGCGCCCTGCAAGATGTGATTCTGTACCTGGGTGCTCATGGACTACCGGTACTGCGATTCCACTCTGACCGAGGCGAGTACTACTCTACAGCCTTTAAGGCGTGGCTAAGGGAGCAGGGTATCCGTGGAACATGGGCAGAACCTGGAATTCCTCAGACCAATGGTCATGCTGAAGCCACTGTAAAATGGATCAAGAACCGAATCCGCACGATGCTGGTGGCAAGTGGATTGCCAGTTCGCTTGTGGCCGGCAGCGGCCGAAACAGCGGCGGCTGAACAACGAGCTTCGGTACTTGGTTGGAAGTCACTGCTCCTTGCCCCCTTCGGCACGGTCGTCCATGTGAAGAAGCGACCCTACACTGCTCTTGGTCCGAGGAGGAGTGCGGATACCTTTGATCCTCGCTGGGCAAGGGGAAGATATGTCGGCTTAAGTGGTCTCTTGGATCGAGGACACTTGGTGTTCTTGCCTGAGGAGGAAGGAAAGGGAGAAGGTTTTTTCCATACCTTCCACGTGAGGCCCAACCTGGTCGACCCCGGCGAGCCGACAACCACCTTAGAAGCAGACGAGGTGATCAAGCCAGCCACTCGTTTGACGGGGAAGACGAGACCCTCTGATGTGATGCCGAGGATAGCTGCGATTGAAAAAGAGAGCCGTGGAGATGTTGAGGAGGAGGCCAACCAAGCCCTCAAGTTTGACGACGAGGACCTGGACTTGGAGATGGTGGAGAAGTGGTTCAGGAATGGAACACTAGACAACTTCAAGGCTGGGGCATATCGTCATGGAGGTGTGGTGGGGGTGATGAACTCTACATGGGAATTCCCACACATGACGCAAATCCTCACTCGAATCCTGCAGCGCTCCATGCCCGAGGCAACCTTCACGGCCATCCTGGTGTCAACAAATACCCTGAGGGAGGTCCACAAGGATGTCAATAACGACAGCTCCACGCTGAACTACCTGGTGCCAGTGGTATGTCCACGAAAGGGAGGAGGAGTATGGGTACAACTACAGCCTGGGGATGTGGTCCAAGGGGAACTAAGTCAAAGGCCGAATTCCAAGGGTGAGATGATGTTTGGAAATGTGCATCCGCTGAAGAAGGGGAAATGCATTTCGTTCTCACCAAAAAGGGCCCATGAGGTGATGGAATGGACAGGTGACCGAGTCGTGATCATCGGCTACACACCACATTGTCATGGTCGTATGGACTACTCAATGGTTAGGACCTTGGAGAACCTGGGATTCCAACCACCCCTTTCTCAACTACCAGAATTCTATGTCCCGAGGCCGGAAGAGATCGCGGTGAACTCAGTGTCGACCACCGAAGTCACGCTGAACGAGCAATGTGAGCAGGTGGAGCCCGAGCTGGGATCGAAGGATTGGGAATTGTTTCTGGAGGTTGAGGATGGAGAGGTGAAAATTGGTGGAGGTGGTGATGGCCCTTTCAGTCCAACCATTCCCTCGGTCAACAAGGCGGAGGTCAGCTACACATCAGAAATCGAAGAATTGCTGAGCTCCCTCACAGCCCCGTTGGATGTGGTGCACAATGTTGACCCAAAGGAAGTCCTTCGCTCTTTGGAAAAGTGGATTCCCGCGATCCAGAAGGAGGTCAAGGGAGTGGAGCATGCCATTGAGAGGTTGAGGACCGGGACTACATCAAGGGCAAGCTGGCTGCAAAGACAAGGAGTCCAAAGACTCCCCACCAAATTCGTCTACACGGTGAAGCCGAATGACAAGGCGGACCCCAACGATCCCTCAACATGGTTCAAGCGAAAGGCTCGACTCGTGGTTTGTGGCAATATGGCCCTCATCAACAACCCGGACCTCTACACCGAAGCAGCGCCGGCAGAGGCGGTTAGGGCCGCCTTGACTTTGACCTGCAAGAACCAATGGACGGTGGGGATCCTGGACGTTGTAATGGCCTTCCTGAAGACGCCAATGGGAAGATCCTCGAGAGACCCTGTCGTGGTGGTCCAACCTCCCAAACTTCTGGAGCGCCTCAACATGATCGAGGAGTTCGAGTTGTGGGGGTTGATTCGGGCCCTCTATGGACTCAAGGAATCGCCACGGCTATGGGGTAGCTATCGCGACCATGAGTTGGCCTCCCTCACCATGCAGATGAATGATGCGATGTTGCAACTTCGAAAGGGGAAGGCAGTGACGGCGTGGTGGACAGTCCTCGGGTCGAACAACGAGATTGTGGCGGTCATCGTGATTTACGTGGATGACTTCGTGATATGCGGAAGTCGGAATACAATCATGGTGTTGGCTCAGGGAATCCAGCAGCTGTGGGAGACAACTGAATTACAGCTGATCTCGCAACAACAACCGTTGAGGTTCCTGGGAATGGAGATTTACCTCCGAGGAGGAGAAGGCGAACCAATGTCCTTCAGTATCGCCCAGGAGGCCTATATCCGTGAGCTCTTGAGAACAAGGGAGATATCCAGCACGCAGCTGGACCGCATCCCATTGAGCAAGGACGCTGCATCCTTTGCAGTTCTGGAGAATGACATCCCACCGAACGACTTCGATGTTCACCTTGCCCAACAACTCACTGGCGAGCTGCTATGGATTTCGCAGAGGAGTCGCCCCGACCTGGCGTTTGTGACCTCGCTTATGTCGACCCTTACAACACGAGCTCCATCGAGGGTCATCGCCATTGCCTACAAGGCGCTGGGGTATTTGCAGAGAACACAATCCCGACACCTGACAATCGCCTACGATGGAACCGACCTCTCCCTGTTCTGTGATGCTGCTTATGCTCCGGAATCAGGCCGGTCACATTCCGGTTGGAGTGTGTTTTGGGGCGGATCAGCGATAGTATGGAGATCGGGGAGGCAAAGTGTGATTTCACTCTCCACGGCGGAGAGTGAACTCATCGCATTATTGGACGGGGCGGTGGCCACCTTGGGTGTGGAAGCTCTACTACAAGATGTGGGTGTGGTGGTGGCGTCACGGACCATCTACACCGACAGCACTTCAGCTCTGGCAATATCCTCTGGAACCGGGGGATGGAGAACCAGACATCTCCGCATAAAGGCCGGATGGTTGCAGGAACAACTGGATGCCGGCATCATGGCCATCAAGCACTGTGCTGGTCGAATCCAGCTCGCTGACCTTTTAACAAAGGCCCTGCCGGCCCAGAGGATCAGCGATCTCCTCGTGCTATGGGGAGTGACTGATGAGCAGCCTGCAAGACCGACGACGAGAACAAGTTCCAACATCTCGGCTAAAGCACTTTTGGCGTTGGTCTGCTGCATGCTGATTGTGGGGGCAAAGTCTGAGGAGGAGAGCGTTAACTACCAGAATCGCCTGTCAGTGGACTGGGATATGGTGGGATGGTTAGTGCTTTTCCTTGCAGTGGCTGGGGTAGTGGCAGTGTGGGAAGCGGCTAAATGGGCTACGGCTGGAATGCTGGAATGGACACCTGGAGCTGGGGCACGACGGTTGAGGAAGTTGCAGAGATTGGAGGCGGCGACAAGGCGAGCATTGGAGGTGGAGTTGGACCGACTGGACAAGGAGGAGGCTAATTCCTCACTGATCCAACAGGCTTCGTCACCGATCCCACAGGCTTCCTCACCGATCCCACAGGCTTCGTCACCGATCCCACAGGCTTCGTCACTGATCCCACAGGCTTCGTCACTGATCCCACAGGCTTCGTCACCGATCCCACAGGCTTCGTCACTGATCCCACAGGCTTCGTCACCGATCCCACAGGAGGCATCAACGTCTTCTACCCCAAGAGCGACAGTGGTCACTGGAATGAACGACAGCTTAATGACTCCAAGGCAGTGGTCGCAAGTGGATGAGCCTTTAATGAGTTCTACACCGAGTGAGTCGATTCCTGAAGATTGGGATGAGCGTCCACGTGTGTGCCTTGACCTGGTGATGTTGATGGTGGTAGAGGATATAAGAGCTGGTCTTCGAGAAGAAGGGCTACCAGTCACAGGATCCAAGAAGGATATGGCTGAGAGACTATCAGCCAACCTGGTTGAGGGAGCATTCCCCTCAAGGGCACTGCCATCGACGAGACAGTACAAGTATGTCCTCTACCTCTGGAACCAGCGAGGCTTGAAGCATCGAACGCGACTGAAGTGGGAGAATGTGAATACAAGGCACAAGATCTCCCAGTGGCTTGCATTTTGGAAGGATGCATGAAAAGGAGGCGAGGTCTGTTGGCTATGGTGGTGGAATGGAGCAACAGCACCTTTCGAAGCTGTTGAGGAGGAGTGAAGATGTGCAGCCAAGGTATGTGACTCAACCTCGCCGACGGCCCCGCATTCCCTTTTTTTTCGGTTCAGGGAAATGGCTACGAAGAAGCCCTTGAGCCCCAACGAACCACATCGTGAAGCAGAGCTTTACGTACATTCAGTCATAAAGGCATCTGTAAGCAGTATGAGCAGAGCTCTACATGATGCATTGTCTGTGGTAAGCTGTACAAAAGCCACATAAGGACGAAGCATCTTGCTTGCCGTGGAAAAATAGACATTCAATTCGCTTGTGTTGCCATGGAGCCCCAACTGCCCGGATCCCCATGTGATCAGCATGAGGGGGACATGCAACAAGAACCCTAAACCCTAAACCCTAAACCCTAAACCCTAAACCCTAAACCCTAAACCCTAAGTGGCAGGGCCTGGCTCGCACGTTGGAGGAAGACGGCCCCTTCGATCTTGCCACTTGTCCTTGGCAAGCCGCCAGGGTGGGTTTCTACCGAATGGGGCTTACGAAATTAGGGTTTAGGGTTTAGGGTTTCGGGTTTAGGGTTTAGGGTTTAGTTTTTAGGGTTTAGGGTTTAGGGTTTACGAAATTAGGGGTACCTTGTTGGGGTCCTTCTCATAAGGGGGTCCTATTATTTGTGGACTATATTAAGTAAGGGGTGCCTTTTTTCGTAAACCCCCAAAAGGCTTGACGCTGCAGTCATGTCGTCACAAAGAGCCACTTATACTTACTGTGATTGAATAAGACCCAAGACCCACGAGAAGAACAGTAGTCTTAGTCGTTCTGCTACGGTAATACATCCCAAAACAGGGTTGCGACGAAGTCTTAGTTTTTAAGTTTGACTTGATCTCACGGGTGCAAGAATTCTAACACGGCAGCTGTGGGGGGGAGGGGAACTCCAGGTTCGCTGCACTGTACTACGTAAGTCGTATGCAAGTTGTCCGAGGATTTTGTGGTGGCTGTGACAACCATACTGGGCACAAGCTGGATACACCTACCATCCTCCCTTGAGTACAGTGCAGAAGTGAGAGATGAAACTAGGCTTTGCAATTGCACCATAAGCAAGCCGCAATTCTCTTGTTGTATCAAGCCAGGTCGATGTAACCGCTTTGTCTCAGCGACATGGTTTGGCTGCACATCCATGAATGACACGGGACGAGTAGTTTAAGATTGAGGGTTTAGTGCTTAGGGAAGAAAACGCAGTATGATATGTTGCAGTCTAGGGGGCTAGGTAACGCAGACCTGCCTTTCTTGAATGATGCTGGACTTCTGGCAGCAGAGTGGGAGCTTCGGTCGTAGGTCAGGCAGCGCAGTAGGCGATCTTGAATTTTTTCGGGACACTAGGGACACATCGATAAGTTCCTGCGTGGTCCTGCTGCCGCGGCCATGCGACTATACGTGAGAACCTTGACGGGCAAAACGATCATCGTAGACCTGGCAGATGATCCAAGCAGGATTTTGATTCCGGATCGTTTCAAGACCCGCGGTGCAAAAGGCATTTCGCAGGCCAAAATCCAGGGTGGAAAGCCTTCCGTGGTGGTAAAGGCTGCCTCGAAGGAGCTGGCTGACTTTTGGAAGAGTAAAGACGGCCAGGCTGTACGCGAGTTCTTACAGCAGCGGCCTCATCACTTCCAGAGGTCATCTCTGGATGAACTGCTTATCGAGTTCAGCCGCTTCTTTGTATTGAAGGCGATCTTCAGTGACACGGCGCCACCAAGAGTTGCATCGGAGGCAGAGCCCCCGAGCAAGCGTGCACGGCACGCGGCTCCCAGTGCACGGCTGTCTCCTTCTCGAGAGGTGGATGAGGTGTGGCATGCGCTGATGATGTTTCCACAGGTCTATCAAGCTCTTTGCCAGAGCCTCGCCAGTGAGATGATCTGCCACGACCCTCGCAGCAAGGATGCTTTTCAGCCAGAGCGCTATCACTTCACCTTCAAGATGTGCCTCGGACGGAAGTTTGCCTGTTATGGGTGGGTTCAGGGTTTTGGGTTTAGGTTTCAGGGTCAGCATGCAGCATGGGGTAGAGAGCAGGAAGTAGAGCTTAGTTTAGTCTGGGGATTTGAGATGAGTTGCCGGTGCGGCAGGTACATCAAGACCTTCGGCAAGGCGCCGCCGGCCTCCCTCTGGCCTCTCCCTGCAGCGTGGTACCAGGATCCAGAGCTATGCGAGGCTGTAGAGGCTGAGGATCTTGACCAGGAGACTGTGGCCAGTCTGAAAGCCAGGATACAGGAACAGGAGGGCACACCTCCTTGTCAACAACGGTTGATTCTGGGAGGAAAGCAGCTGCTGGAGGATCAGACGCTGGCGGAATGCGGTGTTGCAGATGGAGCTACCTTGCACCTGGTATTGAGGTTGGGTGGATGCTAGAGCCAACTTGCGACGCTCACATTTTAAGGGTGTCAGAATGGGGACTCTCCAGGAAGACCAAGTACAGAGAGGCAAGGCCAGAGCATCGCAAATAATGTGCATGGTCCCTACGATCGCAATTGGCTACAACTGCCCCCCCCCCCCCCGCTCCCTCCCATGAAGGGTGGGTGCGGAGATGCGGGAGATCTCGCACCAAACCTGGGTTCGCTGTGAGGGCAGGTAGTTGGCTTACTTGTTTTTTGTGACACCTGAGTCTTGTGCTCCTTAAGAGCCACCCGAAAACTCCTTGTAGAGTACGACCCGATCTGCAGAGAGAACCTGGCCCTGGCGGTCGGCCATTCTGTTATGACCGATGTTGTAGGGTTTAGAGGGCTTCTGTGCTCATGCACCGAGCATTGCACACACGATGAGCCTTCTCATGCACATCCACTAAACCTTAAAACATAAATACTAAACCTTCACTTGAAAATCCCAAACCCTTAAATCTTAACCCTAAACCCTAAACCCGAAACCCTAAACCTAAACCATAAACCTTAAACCCTAAACCCTAAACCCTAAACCCTAAACCCCAAGCCCCAAGCCCTAAGCCCTAAGCCTACGCCCTAAGCCCTTAAAGCCCTAAGCCCTAAACCCTAAACCCTACACCCTACACCCTACACCCTAAACCCAAAACCCTAAACCCCATCCCCTCCCCCATGCCCCCCATGCCCAGGTCCTTTTGATGGCGGGCACGAATGACCTACCGTACACACACAGGTGGCTTTGAAAGAGTCTTTCCATTCCGTCCCTTCAAGATCGGACCTTGCAGGTGAAATTTGAACAGTCGGGCCATGATTTCGGGGGTTTAGCTTTTAGGGTGTGGGGGGCTTTAAGAAGCGGCTTGGGTGCGGAAGTAGGGCAAGAGCCAGGTCGATTCAAGTGTGTAAGCTCGCTCACAGGAGGGCTCACAACAGGAGTGCTCACTTCACTGCATGCGAAACAGGGTATGTATGATTGCTCTGCGTGAGTAGTGCTTACATGGTTCCTTGTGCTTCTTGGTGAGCCTATCTTCTCGGGTGTCCTTTCGAATTTCGGGGATACGAGTAATAACAACCCTGCTTGATGTGGAGCCTTCGATGCAGCGGCCGTTTTACCTCCCCTTAGAAGCTGGACCAGCAGAGACACACCAGCCCCAAAGCCCTAAACCTCAAACCCTAAGTCCTAAACCCTAAGACTTAAACCCTAAACCTTAGACCGACCCCAATCAGTGCTAAGAACCCCCTGCAAAATCCCAAGAGACCCTAAGAAGCCTTCGAAGACTCCACCGTAGAACGAATGAACCCTGAACCCTCGAAACCCTCCTGAACCATTGAAGCCCCGAAACGCCCTAATGAACCCTCGAAAACCCTTTATGAACCCAACCCTAAACCCCAAACCCTAAGCCTTAAGCCCTGAACCCTGAACGCTAATCCCTAGACTCAACCATCAGAAACACCCTCATGAATCCTGCAAAATCCCTGAGGCGAAGAAATGCTGCAGCCAACTTACGTGCGCTGCATCAAGTCTGCCACAGGCAGGGAGAAGAAGAGTTTTGAGCAGGAGGGGGTTTAGGGTTCGGGGTTTAGGGTTTAGTGTTTATGGTTTGGGTGCGGGTCTAGCCTTTGTGCGGGGTGTATGCAAAAAGCGGAAACCCTAAACAAGAAGCTTTAGACTTAAGACCCATTGCCTTATACCTTGAATGTACTTCAGGGCAAGCGTGGTTCCACGGATGAAGTTTCAGGGTTTAGGAGTAAGCGTTGCGTTTCAGTACCTTGAGCCCTATAGCCTCGCTGACCACCCAAACCCCCCAAAGAAACTCAAATAGGCCTTCGGGGAACCCCCAGATGTAGGGTTTAGGGTTTAGGAAACCCCAAACCCTAAACCCTCAACCCTCAACCCTAAACCCTGAACCCTTAGGGTCTAAGTTTTAGGGTTGAGTCTTTTGTGTCTCATTAGGTGTAGGGCTCAGGGTTCAGAGTTTCGGGGCGGACCAGGCAGTGCGGTGCAGTCTGCAGCTTTCGCATGTGCTTTGGGGTTTAGGGTTTAGGGTGTAGGGTTTAATGCTGCACTGTCTTTAGTATGGCTCCCCCCCCCCCCCCCCCCCCCACAAATTTGGACCCTCTGTAAACGCATGGCCGCGGCGACCCCCCAAACAAATGTGGGGGGGGGGGGGGGGGCGAACCGCCCTCAGGGCCTCAAGCCTTTAGGACCTCAAGGCCTGAAACTTTCCAGCCTTTAAGATTCCTGGAGCCCAAGGCCCTCAAGGCCTCAAGCCTTACTGCGTAAGCCCTTCGCCCCTAAAAAAAACAATCATCCGAAAAAACTCTGTATTATAGAGGGTTCCCAGACAAACTTTCTACAGACAGTCCGACCGGCCCGTGGGCTACCTATCACAAAGTTTGTTTGGGGCCTCGTTTCGAAATGAAATTCCATAAGGCTTTACATGGAACTGGCCGGGCTTAGATTTCTGGATTCTTCGGGCTCTAACTCTTTAAGATTCCTGGAGCCCAAGGCCCTCAGGGCCTCAAGCCTTACTTCGTAAGCCCTTAACCCAAAACACAAACCCTTAAAACAAAAAGACGTCCGGAAAACACTTGTGATAATAACGGGTACCTCCAACAAACTCGGATCGCAGAATAAATGTTGGAAACTTGTGTCTAATAGACCCTCCTTACACTAAATCAGTCCAACATTAGAGGCGTGGAATACCGACTGTTGCGATGGCCCCGCCGCTCGCGCCTGTGGGGGACAAGCCCTGGCGCAGCAATCGTCAAGCACTGTTAGAGGACAGGTGGGGGTTTACGATATTAGGGGGTACCTTATTGGGGTCCCTATAAAAAGGGGATCCTTCTGTTTTGGGATCGATATTGGGGGCTCCCCAAACCCCCAGGTTTGGAAGATGGTGTCAAGCTTCTCACGCGTGGCACGTTCGAGGCAGTTCTCGGAGTTCAAGTGCCAAGGCCTAGGCAAACACTATGACTCAACACCTCGGTAGCCCCCTCCTGCAGGTGAACTGTGACTTTCTGCATGCTGTCTACTTGGAGGTTCATGGGTACATATAACCCCAATCATAAGTTTACTTATAACCTACTTAGAGGACTTAGGGGGCTTAGAAGTACAGTTATAATTGGGTTTTAAGTACCCATGAACCTCCAAGCAGGATCGCATGGGCGAAGAAAAGGCTGCAAGCCAAACAGGGCACGTAGGAGTCTGAAGCCAGATGTGCATCTCAACAAAGGCTTCCGAAGATTGCAGCTGAAGCCTAAACCCTAAACCCTAAACCCTAAACCCTAAACCCTAAACCCTAAACCCTAAACCCTAAACCCTAAACCCTAAACCCTAAACCCTAAACCCTAAACCCTAAACCCTAAACCTTGACCCCTGCGTCGGCCTCTTTGTGAAGGGGTTATTGTTAGAAGGCCCGAACTATATACAAATATACCCGAACTAATATAAATATCCCCGAACGTAACTATATATATATATATATATCTTAGTACGTATCCCAACTAAAATGGATTTCCAGCTGCGGTGTTCCTGTAGCTATTGGCCGCCAATTCGGCGCAAGCCCGGATAGGACAAGCTAAGTGAAGTAGATTGTCGATTCTATGCCACAACCGGCGTGTGAAAAGGGTCAGAGTCAAAGTTCGAAGACGCGTGAGGGTCAGACGACAACCGACAACCAGGACCATCAGCACCAGATGAAGCATTGAGCGCTGTGACCAGGGCTCACATGGCTTCGACAGCATCCAAAGCTACCAAAGCTGCCAACCCCACCTCCGCCTCCACCCCGACTGTGAGCGACTCTCAATTTCCAAAGACAAAACGTGCGGGGTTCGATGGGGCTGGGTTTGGGCGCCGCTCGGTTTGGGGGCCGCTTGCAACTTTCTGGGGTCTCAGGATCCAGGTGGCTCATACACAGTTATATATCGTTCCAGCAAATTTATATAGTTCGAGGCAATTTATATTTAGTTCCAGCAAAGGTATAATAGTTCGAACATGTAAAATACAATTCAGAAAGCCATACGCTGCGCTCGGCCTCTTTGTGTTCCCCACTGCCCTCCGTGGACCGCGCCAAGCCTACTATATACTAATCGGTCAAGGTCGAAGCAAAGTGGCGACAAAATACAGGGCGGAACCGCTCGGAACCGTTCTGCGCTATATATGAATAAATAGTGCGGAACCGCTCGGAACTGTTCTGAACGATATATAACTTCTTCCAGCCGAAAAACGAAATAGTTCGAAATAGTTCCAAATCGTTCGAAATAGTCCGGGGAATTATATATGGTGCGGAACCGCTCGGAACCGTTCTGAACTATATATTAATAAGTAGTGCGGAGCCGCTCGGAGCCGTTCTGAGCTATGTATTGACAATGCAGCATAGCTAGTTGACATGATATCATCATGCCAAGTCATGTCACATATGTCATCAGTTTATGTCACATCGTATTTTTCATATGATCATACTTTAGCCGCGCGGGTTGAGGTGCCAGAGTCCCTCTTTCTGTCGCTCTCCCACGCTCTCTCTTACCCTCTTCCGCTCTCATCACCGCCTTATGGGCGGGCAGGCTGCTGGTAAGGCGCTGGGACTTATAAATCACTCCAAGGATTCTATAGATAGTTCCAAGGATTTATATAGTTCGAAGCACTGTGTGGGTACCCACAATGAAAGAGGCCCACGCAGGTAACAACCTAAACCCTAAACCCTAAACCCTAAACCTAAACCCTAAACCCTAAACCCTAAACCGTAAACCCTAAACCCTAAACCCTAAACCCTAAACCCTAAACCCTAAACCCTAAACCCTAAACCCTAAACCCTAAACCCCTAGCCCTAACCCTAAACCCTCAAGACGCAACCGATGTGGCTGGAGGACATGGAGGTGCTCTTCCAGGGCTTGGACAAGCACCTGACCTACATGGATCCCAGCGTTATCTTGAGTCACGAGAACAGTCTCGTGGGGATGCTTGGGAATTAAATTTTTTACTCTTTGGATACTATAACCCCTAAGGAACAGCTAACATTTTATAATTCTTGCTAGGGTTCCAAGGTTCAGTATGGGTATTTCCCAAATAGGGGTACTCTTATATCACCCCCAAGATAGTATAATCCGAATTCTAGGAACCCTAAAAGGGAACCCCCTATTTTCAGAAACCCGAAACCCTAAACTCTAAACCTTAAACTCCAACCCTAAACCCTAAAACCCTAAGGTCTCATGTGGGATCCAGATGGCCTGCACTTCTCGCAGATCGGCTCCTACACACTGGGCAAATCCTTGGCCAAGCTGGCCATCGAACTCTGTGAGACTTGGCTTAGTAATTGTAGTATAGGGACCAGAAAGGAATATTTAGCAATTCTTCCGACACCTGTATGAAAGCTATCCCTCCCCCACCAAATAACAGGATCCCCTGTTACAAGGAAACCCCCACATGCTGCGTTGGTTTAACGAGGCACTCTGAATTTGATGGCCCAGAAACCAGCATAGCCACCCATAGCCCTCGATCCACCTCAGCCGCAAGAGTGGGGCCCCCTAGTTATAAGTAGAGTTATAAGAGCCCTAAATTGGGTTATAAGGATCCTAAATTAGGTTATAAGTCCCGTAACTACAGTTAGTATAGTAAGGGGGCCCCTCCTTGTAGCATTTGTGAAACCATCACACAGAGGCCCCTGCGACCTTCAAGTAGGTTCCGAGAATCGAGGATTGGCTCTGAGTCAACTTCAGGCCTACAAAGTAGGCGAGGCCTGAAGCTGAGCTCAGAGTCATTCCTCGATTCTCGAAAGATGGAAGGGCCTGAGATCCCTGAGAGAGACATGGTTGACCAGGGATAGAACCTAAGACTTGCAGCATTCTTAATCTACATATATATATATATATATAGAAAGACATATATATATAACTAACTATGTATATACAAACATATTTCATTCTCTTATATGGTAATACTGAATATTACTATATGATATATTGTTCTATATTATAGAAATTTCACAGCTCTTCTGAGGAAGGACCGGCATCCACTCCACCCCGCCATCGCGCACGGCGGACGGGCCTCAGGGCGCCAGCTTGCCCGCTATCTCAGGAGCAGCTGGCACAGAAATCGGCTCCGGCCCCGGAATTCAAAATACCGACAATTCTGTCCTCTTGTGATCCTGGTGCCCAGCTGCTGAAGGCATGACTTGGGCTGCTTGTGCAACTCGCAAGCTCCTTTAAAAGGAAGCCGCTGTACAGAAGCTTTGCAGTCACAAACAGCATGGGCACTCCGAGTGATGTAATGTGAGGTGTCTTGGCCCGTTTCTGTGTCTGCATTGCTTCAACAGCGGCGGCGCCCCTGCGCAAGCATGTGACAGGGGAACCCAAATTGCTGCGGGCTGGCAAACGCTGCCGATAGCTGAACCCTGTGAGGAACCCACCGGTGTTCCCGGCTATTTTGGTTCCTCCAAAACATATGGGTAGTTCGCTAATTAGGGTCCCTTTTCGGGTCCCCTGCCATCGTACGGCACCCTTACTCAAGGACCCCTAAACCCTAAACCCTAAACCCTAAACCCTAACCCTAAACCCTAAACCCTAAACCCCAAACAGAGGGACCCTAAGAAGCCCAGGGTTGCATGAGATCGGCCTTGGTGCTTCGGTGAATCCGGCTTTTTTTGTAGGTTGCATGTACCGAAAGAATACTGTAACACAAGGCAAACAATACACACACACACACATATTTGTTCTTCACAGTGTGCACATATAGGGAGATATAGAGTGTATATACTGAAACATATCTATATATGTATATACACGCTGGTATGTGTAGTTTGAAAAAGAAGACATCCTACTCGGCCGCAGTTTCAGCTTGACCCGGAACCGCAACATGCAGGCGCAGATCGAAAGATTGCTGAGGAGATTCAAGCGGGGTCGGGGAGATCGCAAGGTTCCGCAATCGAAGAGTCATGAGCAGCGCCATGTGTGTACTCGCGCCTGAGGCAAGTATGCGAAGAGGTTTCTTTGCAACCGCGCCGCAGCCGTCGCAGTTTCCGTAGCAAGGGTACGGCTTTAGGTTGACCTCCTTCGCGTTTCATGGGCAGAGCTACGCCATGACATGGTAAGGCATCCCCGAACGGGCCCATCGAGATCCTACAAGGATGTAGGGTTTAGGGTTTAGGGTTTAGGGTTTAGGGTCTAGGGTTTAGGGTTTAGGGTTTAGGGTTTAGGGTCTTGGGTTGATTTCTTATTCCGCAGCCATGGACACGACCTTCAAGCCGGCACTGGAATCGGCGCGCCGGGTTGTTTGCTTTGGAGTCTTTGCAGAGTCGGACAGTGGGATGTTTGAAGGGGGTCGGAATAATTGTTACTGGTATTCCCTCGTAATCCCCTTATACTTATACTATAGCACCTCCCCGAAACCCTATTCTAACTATGAAGGCCCCCATATTCCCTTACACTCCCCTTATAGTTATACTATAGCACCCCCCCCGAAACCCTATTCTAACTATGAAGGCCCCCATATTGAAGATCTGCTGAAGAAAGTTCCGAGAGTCGATGGTGGCTGGGCACGCAGTTTCAGGCTTGTTGACATCAATTTGTGGTGCGGATCGTCATCTAGCCCTAAACCCTAAACCCTAAACCCTAAACCCTAAACCCTAAACCCTAAACCCTAAACCCTAAACCCTAAACCCTAAACCCTAAACCCTAAACCCTAAACCCATGAGCTTCTTGAGCAAAGTGGCTTTCTTCGGACTGTGACTGGGGTCACCAGGTCTGGACGTTGGGAGGGGGCTGGGTGGGGGTGTGCTGGAGGGGTTTGCTGGGCGTTGACCCATGCTCATGCAGAGGTCGACATGATGGAAGAAGAAATACGGAATATAGCGTCAGCACGACCCAAAGAAGACCCAGAATGTAGAACAACCCTTCCCTCCCCCAGGACTGCGCTGTGGGAAGCCTTTTTCAAAGGTGAGCGGGCAAGACATGAAATGAGAGATTACGGTATGATGACTTGTGCCACTATGAGCCAGAACCCACTAGACTCAGTTGAGATGCCTCACAGTATCACGCATAGACCATTGCAAGCCAAAAAATATCCCTAAACCCTTAACCTAAACCCTCCATTGAGGAAGCCATTGTTGAGGGTTGAGAGGGTAACCTCTCTAAGCCCGAACAAATCCCCAAAAAACCTCATCCGGAGGAGTTCGGCAAGGCGTTGGCCACCCTTCAGCGGGATCCTTATGGACGCCTCCCGCAGAAGCAGGCGGAGGTGCTCCGGGGAGAACATGGGTGTGTATCTCCCCAAATGCTACTATCATGTAGGGTTTAGGGTTTAGGGTTTGGGGCTACTATTTGCTGAAGAACCCCCCCCCCCAAAAAAAAAAAAGATAAATAGAAAAGATTCCTCCTTGCAAGGGCAATATAGGCATTATTCTCTTCTATTTGTCGGCGGTTAAAAAGCACGCAGTGGACTAGGGGTACCCATCTTCCATCCACAATGCATTGTAGAATTGACTTTTCCAGGGACCCCCAGGGATCCAATTTCGTTAGGGCAGGTATTTAAGTTTGTATTGTACATCATATGAGAATAAGAATTTCCAGCCCCGTTAGGGTTTGTAAAAGTTGACGGTTTATGAAGTTTAGGGGTTAGGGCTAAGGGTGTTCGATCAGAACGGGTGTTTTTGGCCAGTTTATGTCAAGAATTGGAAGAGAGGGTTGAACTGACCCTAAACCCTAACCCCTACACCCTAAACCCTAAACCCTAAACCCTGTAGTTTTGTTCAGCTCTCTTTTACTCTTAGATACTTGGGGTTTTTACCCTGAAGCATCCCTCAGCGGCCTAAGCGGGAACTCATCTCTTCCATTCATGGTTTAAGGTTTAGGGTTTGGGGTTTAGGGTTTAGGGTTTAGGGTTGAGGGTCTCGGGGTGTTGCAAAGGCTCCCCCGAGCTTGCTCTCGAGCTATAGGCCTTCGGTAGTTTGGGGTTCAGGGTTTAGGGTTTAGGGTTTAGGGGGCAGTTTTGGATTCAGCAGTTGTGGAATGGTCATGTTCCATGGGACCGTATAAGCCCTAGGGCTTAGGGGTTTGGGGCTTCGAGTTTAGGGGTTTAGGGTGTTTTTGGTTTAGGGGTTTTAAGCCCGCGTTTCTCTTTTCGCTCGCCGCATGATGAGACGCCCCCAACTCTAAGCCCCCCCTGGAATGGTAACGTACAGGCACCATGAAATGGCACCCTAAACCCTAAAAATAAACCCTAAGCCCTAAACCCTAAACACCAAACCCTAAACCCTAATTTCCAGGGCACCAGCACCCACAAAAAAGCAGACTTTGGAGCAGTTTCTGATGCTAAGCCGATTCTCGGCCTTGACCCTTGTCCGCACTCCATAGCCATAGGCTTCTGGGCTTAAGGTTTTAGGACCGGATCAGGGTTTAGGGTTTAGGGTTTAGGGTTTAGGGTTTAGGGTTTAGGGTTTAGGGTTTAGGGTTTAGGGTTTAGGGTTTAGGGTTTGGGTTTTGGGTTTTGGGTTTAGGGTTTAGGGTTTAGGGTTTAGGGTTTAGGGTTTAGGGTTTAGGGTTTAGGGTTTAGGGTTTAGGGTTTAGGGCTTAGGGTTTAGGGTTTAGGGCTTAGGGCTTAGGGCTTAGGGTTTGGGTTTAGGGTTTAGGGTTTTGGGCTTGGGATTGAGAGGCCATCGTGGCTTTCTTTGCTGCTACGCAGCCTTCCGAGAAGGACTCCGCGAAAATCTTCAGGGCTGCTGTTTTTAGGGTTTCGGGTTTAGGGTTTCGGGTTTAGGGTTTAGGATTCCAGGGCCTCAACACCTTCTTCTAAGGGTAGTTATATGGGGAGTTTCCGTAATTAGCCCCTTGACTACCCCAATCTTGTTGTAATTGGGTTTTAGGTACAGTTCTATTTGGGTTCTTAAGTGCCCTGAGCGTGGTGTGCTGGATGGGAGGCCAAGCTTCGCGCCACGAGTTTAGAAGTTTAGGTTGAGTTTGGGACATGGGGATTTTCTGAGGATTTTCTGAGGGTCATGGGCACTGACCCTTAGGGTTTGGGTTTTGTTTCTACGCTAGGGAACCCAACAAAGGGAAGGTACGACGACGGCTTTCTGCAGCCTTCAAAGCTGACCTGAACCCAAGGGGCTTCGACAGCACACGCCTTCACGACCATGGAACCCTTCTGCATCTCATGCTTCTTTTCGTTTTGCTCTTCTTAGTGGCTGAGTGCGTACACTTTAATTACACTTTTGGGATACTATAATCCCCTATAGAAACTGAAAGTGTAATTACACATTTTCTTGGGGCTTATGAACTCAGCAGCTAAGTCTTTCTCGCAGGAGCGATTGGGATGGAGCTTTTCGGAAGAGCTGGATTCATTCACCAGGCGCGGTGCGTAAGACGCGAAAAGTCCCGGGTTCATGAGCTAGGAAGCCGGGCTTTGGTGACCTTGAGGTGGCTTGAATTGGGGGTTTCCGACATTCGGGGTACCTTATAGGGGGTTCTCATGATCAGGGAATCCTACTATTTGGGGGGACTATATTAGGGGTCCCTTATTTTCGTAAACTCCCAATTTGTTGACCTGTCTGAGAGGATACTGCCCTATGTGATCTGCGCATTTAACGCCATCGACCGCGACTGCGATACCTTGGTCTCCGACGAGGACGTGTCAGACCCTAAACCCTAAAGCCTAAACCCTATAACCCTAAATGGTTTAGGGTTATAGGGTTTAGGCTTTAGGGTTTAGGGTCTAGGGTTTAGGGTTTAGGGTTTAGGGTTTAGGCTAAACCCTAAACCTAAACCCTAAACCCTAAACCCTAAACCCTAAACCCTAAACCCTAAACCCTGTCAGCCCCCAGGCCTACCTAAACCCAATCCCTCGTGCAGCCACCAAGAAGAGCCCAGGGAGCAAGAGGGCATGCACTAAGAACCCATAAACCTTAAACCTTAAACCTTAAACCCTAAACCCTAAACCCTGGACTTCCTTACACCTCTGTTCCTGTCGAGCTCGGCAAACCGGCCATTTTGTGAGCAGAAGATACATCCAGCGGCAAGCGCTCACACCCAACGCCTAGAATTGGGGTCGGATATTTGTTGAAAGTGTTCCCTTAGAGTTCCCTAAATACGCCTACTATAGTATACCCCAGAACCTTATGCTAATTGTGTTGCACCCCTATAGTAAACCCTGAACTCGAAACTGTCCCTAAACCCTAAACCCTAAACCCTAAACCCTAAACCCTAAACCCTAAACCCTAAACCCTATACCCTATACCCTATACCCTATAAACCCTAAACCCTAAACCCTCTTTCTTGTTGCCTCTAGGAGGTGACTTCCTGGCTACAGAACCCACAGCTGGAGCATCGGGTGGAGGCTGGGATCAGGGGGATCGGTATCTCCTTAGGGATTTCTGCCAACTGAAAGAGGTTTAGGGTTTAGGGTTTAGGGTTTGGGGTTTAGGGTTTAGGGTTTAGGGTTCATGTAGAGTCTACACGGTTCCAGCAGTGCGCTGTCAGGACACGCGGTGGAATTTCGCAGACTTGAAGAGTGTGGAGGCCCCCGCCTGCAACCGCAGGAACCTTGGGGGTCCCGTTTAGTTCTCAAGCCTCCAGAATTACAAACTCCAAGCCTCATAAGCCTAAACCGTATATATCAACCCTAAACCCTCTAAACCCTCTGAACTCTATAAACCCAAAAAACCCTATAAACCCTATAAACCCTACAAAACCCCAAAACCCCAAACCCCAAGCCCCAAACGCCAAACCCCAAATCCCAAACCCCAAACCCAAGCCCTCATAAGGGTTTTTCAAAACCCTAAACCCTAAACCCTAAACCCTAAACCCTAAACCTCATAAACTGAAAGGCCAGCCTCCCCGCGCTCTGCCTCTCGGGCCTTTCCGGCACCAAGGGTTTGGCGGTGCCCTCAGCTGCGGCGGGGGTGCAAGATACGGGCCCGTTTGTCCCTGAAACCCGACTCAAAACACTAAACCCCCTAAACAATGAAGCCTAAACCCTCAACCCTAGACGCTAAACCCTAAACCCCAAAGCCTAAACCCTAAACCCCAAACCCCAGACCCTAAACCCTAAACCCCATAAACCCTAACCCCCCCAACCCCCTACATCACAGTGATCTTGCTAGGGACTCAGGCTCCTGCAGTGGGCTGTAGGTGTTGGATTTCAGAGTTTAACAAACATGCGCACCCCTGTGCCGGCTTTGGCTAGTTTTGCAGGGGGGCTTAGGGATGCATATTTTCAGGGATGTGGGGATCAACTGGGTCGGTGAGATAGGAACACATGAAAGGAGTCTGAGTGGGTGCTGGAGGCGTTCGGCGCGTTGATGGTTTCTACCATCGCCGTGCGGGACTGTCCGGGACTGTTCGGGGATGTCCCCGCTTGCAATCGCAGGGGGTTTCAGCATCAATGCTCTCAGCATCAAAGCAGCATAACTCGAAAACAGAAGACTATAAGAATATAGTTTCCCAATACTATAGTATTCTTGCAAAGGCAGAAAACGTCGAACCGTCGACGCACTCTCCAGAAAACGCCACAATCTAAACATCATTTTGAATACATCATTTCATTTAGTATCTTAGAATTGTCATGCGTAATGTGCAAAAGCAAAAATGCAATAACGTAATCATGTTATATACATATATATTTATAAACGAAATATAATAATGCCATAGTGTGAGAATGTCATAATGCAGTAGTGTAATACTATATAAAGATGCGAGTAGAGTAAAATAAGGAGACTGGCTCTTGCTGCGAAAGGCCTGCATCATGGAGCACATCAAGAACTTCCATTTCCAGGTCCCCACCTTCCTTTTGCCTTACCCAGACCCCTGGGAGGATCCAAAGAAGTAGGGTTTAGGGTTTAGGGTTTAGGATTTAGGGTTTAGGGTTTAGGGTTTAGGGTTTAGAGATCCCCTTCAGGGTTCCTAAGAGTCACCCAAGAGTAGTACAGGATACTACTTGGGGGTTCTGCTTTTTAGATCCTCCCCGGACTCTGCGTAGCCGTATATTCCAATGATTCTGGGCGGCGGGGGGGTGGGGGGGCGAAGACGAAGACGAATAAGGGATCTGAGGCGAGTGAGGGATGCATGTCGCACTTTTCCCACAGTTCAAAGCCTTAAGCTTGGGTTCTGGGGCTTGAGGACCTCAGGGTTTTGAAGCAATGGCTTTAGGGTTTTGGTTTCAGGGTTTAGGGCTGAAAGCCCTGCGCTTCGAAGCCACGCTGCCAGTCCGACGTGAGCTCCATGGGACTCCGGGATTGCGTCCTGACGGCCATGAAGGCCAGCCCAGTAGCAATTGGGTTGGGTTAGGATCCCTTTAAACACCACGTTAAACCAGAAAAGGGCAGTATTCCTCCCAACTTACTGGGGAAGGGTTCAGGTCTCAGAGAGTCTAAGAGTCCAAGTGAAGGGCTATAGGGTGTCCCAAAGACTGCTTGAGGGGTTGGGGTAAGGTGCAAGGCTTGGATGACTTTGCGAGATTCACGGACATGCAAAGTCCTGCTCTGCCGCAGTGTGCAGGTCTTCACTGAGCTCCATGTGCGGGTGGGCTAGCGGATGACACCTTTGGTTTTAGAGGCCGACGTCTACCCAACTCTGTCCAGCTGAGACTGCCAGCGGCGAAGCCGCTGAGCCGCTTAGCCTAGTCTGCAGAGCACGTCTAGCGACTCAAAAAATATCGGGTCTGCTGATGGGCTTCTGGCTTGGCCGGGCCAAGCGTGCTGACCTGCCCGGATCTCTGCCCTCTCGTTAGAGGCCCTGAGGTGTCATGAGTCGTGTGAGTCATGTGGCTCTGGAGTCAGGCATTGTGTGCACCGCTGGCATGGCCTTGCTCACAGGAGAGCTAAGACTGGGCCACGCAGGAGTCTACAGAACAGCGTATACAACGTAGCATGACATGACACACACATGTTCTTTGGAGTCGGTGATTAATCTGAGACGTCTGTGGACCTTGGCGTCGCAGCCATGGCCGATGCGGCAGTCTTGGAGCAGTTGGCCTCGCAGCTCGAGTGCGAGCACTCCCTGAAGGACCTCCATGGAAGCCCCAGGATTGTGGCTGCTCCACGCAGCGTCTCGGATGTGGCCTCCTGTGTGCGAGCTGCCGGCAGCCTAGGTTGCTCTGTGAGCGTCGTGGGTGGGAACCATTCGGGTTACGGCGGGTTGGGCGATCTGGTGCTGGAGATGGAGCACCACTTCAATGCGATTGTTGCAGACAGCGCCGCCGGCCGTGTCCGGACTGAGGCTGGTGTCAAGCTGAAGTCCCTTGCTGCCAAGGCTGCTGAAGCCGAACTTGCTGTTCCTCTGGGCACTGCACCAACAGTGGGCGTTGGCCTCATTCTTCAAGGCGGTGTGGGGCACTCCACGAGGCGACTGGGCTTGGCACTTGATGCCATCCACTCTCTCCAGCTAGTCACGGCTGCAGGTGACGTGCTATCATTGGGCTGTGACTCCAGCGATGAGGAGCATAAGGACCTGTTCTGGGCTTTGTGTGGCTGCGGCCCCAACTTTGGAGTCGTGACTTCCTTCGAGCTCAACGCCTCCAAGCTCCAAAGTTGTCGACAAACGAGGCAAGTCTTCCACGTGCCTTCTGACCGCACGGCTTGTGAGGTCGCGCCGGCTGTGCGCGCGTACATGCTCCGATCTCAGTCCCTGCCGAGGGACTGCTGCTCGGACTGCTGCCTCTACATGGCCGATGACCCAGCGGAGCCTGGGATGCGAGTGGGCATCTACGACTTCAACTTCGGATGTGATGTTCCCCCGGTCGATGCGGCAGGCGCCAAATTGGTAGTAGAGCAGGTGGATCATGGGCTTGGTCCAATCCAGCTCATGGAGACGGAGCCCTACTTGTGTGACTCGGAGGCTGTTCAGTCTTAGGACCCCAGTCCTCAGCGATTCCGCGTTGAAGAGCTTGTTGGTAACAACATGTTCTTTCCTTTTCCACACTGTTGTTGCTCTTTAATCCCTTCCCCCCCCTCCCCCCTCCCCTTGTATAAAAACCCCCAAAGGGTTTTTAGAATTAGGGGGGGTTCTTATCGTTTGTCCGAGAAACCAAACCGTCCTGCTTGTAGCATGCTGGCTCAGCCGGTCTGCAGACACAGGCATGTTTCTGCTTCAGGCTTCCGACCCCCCCCCCCCCCCCCTAACCCCTCCCTCTCTCTGTAGAGGTTTTAATAGGGACAGGCAAGGGATCGGGATTTTGGGCCGAGTTTTTTTTTCCTTGGGGGGTACTAATATTAGGGGAAGGGATTCCAAGAGAATGACAGCGATTGAAGGTCTGTTTGAAGGGCAGCACAGCCCCAAGTCAGCAACAGCCGTCCCCTTCGTCAAGAAGACAGACAGTTCATCGTGTTTCCACGAAAAAAATCCATCTCATATATACAAAGGATGACAGGACCCAGTGCTGATGATGGCCTGTGTGGTGCAGCTCATGGAGCTATAATTAGTTGTTGCGCTATAAATCGAAACAGGAGATCACAAGTATGAATAGGAAGAAGTCACCAGCGGAAACACATGTCTTCAATGTTGGGTTGTTTCTGCACAATGCCATTCTATCGCAAGACCTCTCAACATGCGCTGAATGTGGTGAGCATGTGCTAAGTTTTCCAGTGGCTCCTCACGGTAGTTCGCAAAAATAGAGAGTGGCAGCTCGGAGCAGTTTCCGAAACCCTAAACCCTAAACCCTAAACCCTAAACCCTAAACCCTAAACCCTAAACCCTAAACCCTAAACTTGGGTTCGGCCGGTCCACACTAACAGTCAAATAACGCCGTGGCCTTATAACACACAGGCCAAAAATAGCACCAGGAATCCCAGTCAATTTTAGCGTTTACCGGGTGCTTATTTTTGTGGGTCTGCTGGTGGTGACTGTTAGTCACATAGCACCAGCAACAGCACCAGAAATAGCACCAGAAATAGCACAAACAATAGCACAAAAAATAGCACCAGAAATAGCACAAACAATAGCACAAAAAATAGCACCAGAAATAGCACAAACAATAGCACCAGAAATAGCACCAGGAATCCCAGTCAATTTTATCAGCTTAGCATTTACCGGGTGCTGTTTTTTGTGGGTCTGCTGATGGTGATTGTTAGTCACATAGCACCAGCAACAGCACCAGAAATAGCACCAGAAATAGCACAAACAATAGCACAACAAATAGCACCAGAAATAGCACAAACAATAGCACAAAAAATAGCACCAGAAATAGCACCAGGAATAGCGCAAAAAAATGCACCAGAAATAGCACCAGGAATAGCACCAGGAATAGCAGGAATCTCAGTCAATTTTTTGGCATTTACCGGGTGCTTTTATTTGTGGGTCTGCTGGTGGTGACTGTTAGTGTGGACCGGCCGAACCCAACCCTAAACCCTAAACCCTAAACCCTAAACCCCCAGAGTCAGACAGGTGAGCAACCTTTCGGCGTGGCGCACCGGGGCTTTGGGTCCAGCAGGCGCTTCTTTACCCGGGCACTGTTTTTCGCTCGAGATGCCGAGATTGGTGAGATGCTGGTGGAGAGCTTGTCGAAGGCCCCATCTCGGCACTGCTACTTCCACTTCCAGCACATGGGCGGTGCCGTGGCGGACGGTAGCACTGGGAGCAGTGCATTTCTTGCGCGGGATGCAGAGTGGTCGCTCGTGATCACGGGGTCATGGGCCGAGGATGAGGGTGACTGCACCCCATGGGTCAGAGACGTGGTGAAGCTCCTGCTGCCTCTTGCGTTGGGATGCTACGCCACCGACCTCGGAGCACAAGATGTAGAAATGGCAGGTCAGACTTTCGGCCGTAATGCTGAGCGCTTGCTGGCTTTGAAGCAGAAGTGGGATCCCAACAACATGTTCAGACACGGTTTTCCGCTATCCCAGTTGGGGAAGGCTGCATGACGCAGCCCGTCTTCCAAGATCGTTTGTCCAGACCTCGATTGGCTGCATCGGTGTAATGAACTTGAGAGGGTGCGTCCTGATACACGATACATTATTCTGCAATATGTATTATGTGATATGTGTATATGTGTATGGCAGGCAGTATATTCGCCACTACATATTCTGTATATCTGTTTTTCTAGACATATTATATATATATATACTATATACTATATCGGTTGAGGGCTTGATTAAGCTCTTGAGCAACATTTGCTGCGCGGAGAGCAGCAGACTGGTTGAGCATGCCCCATGCGACATCCTGCCGCAGACTTCAAGCATGTGGAGCCGGTCTTTCTACATATTCAGAAGATCGTGCAGCATGCAAACCGTACCTGTCTACCGGTCTCCTGGGTTTAGGGTTTAGGGTAACCCCTGAGGCATAGCAGGTAGGAGCAGCATAAGTAGTCTTTATGATCACACCACTGGTGTCTAGTCCACAGCCAGCCTGCTGCGCATGGCTGCTGAAGCCAATGTGGGAGAGGTGCCCCTGCACTCGTTCGGAGCTTACGCACCTGGAGCCAGACATGCACACGAGAGATTTATGAACCCTAAACCCGAAACCCTAAACCCTAAACCCTAAACCCTAAACCAGCTGGCCCAGGCTAGTGGAGGTGCAGGAGGACCGGGAGTGCGTTTGTCTCCGGACTCAGGGGTTCAGGCCTTCAAGTGGTTGAAGTGGAGTGCACCGTGCCGGCCGCGAGCCATTCGGCCAGTCTTTGCTTCAAGATTCAACATCAATTTCCACGCAACATCTCTTCTGGTATACAGCAATGCGTCTGTATGCTTCAACAGCTGGCTTGCATGTGACTTCTGGACTTCTGAGGCTTTTGGGTAGTTCTTAATATTGCCATTATTGTTAATAGTCTTCATACTCTAAATTGACATTGTTAATGTTCTTAATATTGTTCGACCATCAGAGCTGCAGGCCTTAGAACAACGAAGGACGTGCTGGGCAGATGCCGCTTTAAACTTTACCTTGTCAGCTCGGTTGCCGTCCTCTGGCCGGGTGCGCTTCCCCATGGCAGTTTCCACCCCCTTGGTGGCCCGCCCTGGGCATGACCTCGAGAGAGAGAGGCTATTGAAGAGTCGCGTCGCTTGGAGGGACGCAGGAGAACGTTTCCAATCAAGTCCCTATTTTTCGCGTGTGTTTTCGAGTTTCACCTGCGTTTGAGATGGTTGTCAGCTCATTCGCGCCTAGCTTTTCGCACGCGTTTTGATGGGGCTGTTGAAGCCATGTGGTCTGGTGGCATTTCTAGAAAAGACTGGCCTCGAAATGTTAGGGTTGCTTCAGCATTCCTTGATTCCTTTTCCGGTATGGACCCATTGAGCGAGTCCGTCTTGGCGCGGCGTTTTCTTGCGGAAGATTCGTTCTGCATGACTTGGCCTGACTCCCTGGTACATGCGTTTACACTGCGAAAGTGGATCAGGCACGACTGTTGCATGACTTTCACCGATCCCTGTAGCGGACTTGAATTGCCCCTGCTTGATGCAAACCAAACATGCCGCGATGTGCTGCACATCATCCCCTGATGTATACCCCAATCCTTCTATGAACACTCAAAAAAACCCTTCTATTAACACCAAAATGACCCAATTTTCGCAAGCTCCCAAACGTAATAGGAACTCATGCAAATGACATATGCAAGACATTGTAGTTTTCTGGCCCTCGGCTTGGGCCCCTTTTGAGTGGCTTCCGCTCCGTCCATGATCGAAGGACGACATCGCAATACTAGCCAGGATATACTACGATATATAACATACACCTTAGAATACATAATCCAATCTCTCTCTCTCTCGATATATATATATATATATATATAATGTATGATCCATAATTAATTAGCAACATAGTATAGTCGATAGTTTGACCCATATGCTCGACTTGCATCAGCGAAAAGCCGCAAACCAGCATCTACACAAACAACACGGCTCATCGAGAACCTGATCGCCGATATGGTTTCAGCGGAAAAGGGCAAAACAAACATAGCAGTAGAACGGTCGACATACTCCTGCGTCTAGGGCCCTATCTCACAGCAACCTGCGCAGAGGTTGACACATTCGATAGCTACTTGCGGCAAGTCAGGAACATGCTCGGCGTCCGCCTGGCATCCGCCAAAATGTAGCTGTCGTCTCAACACCGCTTGCGTAGAAGACCAGCGTAGACCTAAGAACTTGGCGGACTCTGCGCCGCCGTATAAGAGTAGCGGTACATATACCTGACGCATGCAGTCCAGCGGCTAGCGCACTTGGGCTTGAGCCGGGGATCGGGTCGGGCCTTCGGTCGGCGTGCCTTGGCGTCGCAGCCATGGCCGACGAAGGGGTCTTGGAGCAGTTGGCCTCGCAGCTCGAGTGCGAGCACTCCCTGAAGGATCTCCATGGAAGCCCCAGGATTGTGGCTGCTCCACGCAGCGTCTCGGACGTGGCCTCCTGTGTGCGGGCTGCCGGCAGCCTAGGTTGCTCTGTGAGCGTCGTGGGTGGGAACCATTCGGGCTACGGCGAGCTGGGCGATCTGGTGCTGGAGATGGAGCACCACTTCAATGCGATTGTTGCAGACAACGCTGCCGGCCGTGTCCGGGCTGAGGCCGGCGTGAATTTGAAGTCGCTTGCTGCCAAGACGGCTGAAGCCGAACTTGTTGTTCCGCTGGGCACAGCACCAACCGTGGGCGTTGGCCTCATTCTTCAAGGCGGTGTGGGACACTTGACCAGGCGAGCGGGCTTGTCGCTCGATGCCATTCACTCCGTCCAGCTTGTGACTGCTACGGGTGACGTTTTATCGTTGGGCCGTGACTCCAGCGATGAGGAGCACAAGGACCTGTTCTGGGCTTTGTGTGGTTGCGGCCCCAACTTTGGAGTGGTGACGTCCTTCGAGCTCAACGCCTCCAAGCTCCAAAGTTGTCGACAAACGAGGCAAGTCTTCCACGTGCCTTCCGACCGCACGGCCTGTGAAGTCGCACCGGCTGTGCGCGCGTACATGATGCGCGCTCAGTCGCTTCCGCGGGACTGCTGCTCGGACTGCTGCCTATACATAGCCGATGACCCAGCGGAGCCTGGGATGCGAGTGGGCATCTACGACTTCAACTTCGGATGTGATGTCCCCCCCGTCGATGCGGCAGGCGCCAAACTGCTAGTAGAGCAGGTGGATGATGGGCTTGGTCCAATCCAGCTCATGGAGAACGAGCCGTCCCAATGTGACTTGCAGCCAGTTCAGTTCCTTGATATCGACTGTCATTTGTTTTTCCCCATTGTTCTGAACTATGTTAAAGCCTGCAGACACAGGTGAGCAACCTCACGGCGTGGCGCACCGGGGCTTTCTGTCCAGCAGGAGCTTCTTCACCCGGGCACTGTTTTTTGCTCGAGATGCCGAGATTAGTGAACTGCTGGTGGAGATCTTGTCGAAGGCCCCGACTCGGCACTGCTACTTCCACTTCCAGCACATGGGCGGTGCCGTGGCGGACGGTAGCAGCGAGAGCAGCGCATTTCTTTTACGAGATGCAGAATGGTCGCTCGTGATCAAGGGGGCGTGGGCCGAGGATGAGGGTGACTGCACCCCGTGGGTCAGAGACGCGGTGAAACTCTTGATGCCCTTTGCGTTGGGATGCTACGCCACCGACCTCGGAGCGGAAGATCTCGAAATGGCAGCTCAGACTTTCGGCCGTAACGCTGAGCGCTTGCTGGATTTGAAGCAGAAGTGGGATCCCAACAACATGTTCAGACATGGTTTTCCGCTATCCCAGTTGGGGAAGGCTGCTTGACATGGCCCTTCTTCCAAGATAGTTTGACCTCATACTGCAGCATTCGCGCAATTTGCACGTGGCGTGTGCAAAATGCGAATCAAAAAGACTTTCCGGCCGTATCCACTGCCGCAGGCCGGGCAAGTGCACCACGGCTCTGAAGTTGCACGGTACTGCAGCTCTAAGTTCTGACTGTGGGAACTACTCGGGCTTCGGTGTGCTAAGCCTTGTACATGCGCTTCACCCTTGGCCCCTAACCTTTATCGCCACGTGTCTGCGAGTGAGTCTGCGCTGACGCAGGACACTCGGCAGCAGATCTGTGGAGGACGTGTGCTGGTGCGTATCCGGCTGGCTCCTGACGAGGCAGGTCTTTGGGATGCTTGAGGGCGCCCCGGCCACCCCGTGCCATGATTTAGGTATATTTAGGTAAATTTAGGTGCATTTGTATATTAGGTATATTTAGGTATATTTAGGTATATTTAGGTATATTTAGGTATATTTAGGTATATTTAGGTATATTTAGGTATATTTAGGTGGCTTATCCAGGAAGCTGCACTTGTGTGGTTTCTAGCTGTTTATGCACTTTCTGTGCTGTGGATGTCTTCATAGCAGTATTGATACATGCCTGTCATGTGCAATGGCACGACATACAGCTGAAATCATGATGTGATTCTGTTCACATTCTTCTCGCTCTCTCTCTCTCTCTCTCAATCTCTTTGCCTCTTCTTTTTTATGTATAATCATATTTGCAAGATACGGTTCGTATTCTATTAACATGGCCATACTCGTAGACACGTCGCATAGCCAGATGTCGCATAGAAAACATGTTGGTATGATGCTGTATACTTTTTATGGTATACTGTACTTACAATTTGTCAACATACGTTGTTGGCTGGCCATCTTTGCCTGGAAGTTCTTGTTGATGATGTGTTTTGCTTTCTTAGGGAAGTTTCTTTGGGTGTTGGATGCGAGGTCGCCTCGCTCGCTGAGCCGGATCCCTTATTCAGCCTGGTGCCTCGGGCAGCTTATACCCCTAATTTCGGAAACCCTAAACCCTAAACCCTAAACCCTAAACCCTAAACCCTAAACCCTAAACCCCCAGGTGCCTCGGGCAGCCTATCTGCCCTTCCTCTTTCATGATGTGCTCGAGCACTTCAAGAAGTCGGCGATCGCCCGCATGGGCCAGCCCTATGAGCTCTGGTTCGACTACAATCACACGGTCCCCCGGGCCAGACTTAGGAGTTTAGGGTTTAGGGTTTAGGGTTTAGGGGTTTAGGGGTTTAGGGGTTTAGGGGTTTAGGGGTTTAGGGGTTTAGGGGTTTAGGGGTGTTTAGGGGTGTTTAGGGGTTTAGGGGTTTAGGGGTTCAGGGAAAGGATCCTGGGCTGATCGTTGTGCTTGCATCCTGCGCGAGTGCCGCGCCGTTTCCTGAGGCACTGAAGTGGCACTTTCCATTGGGAGTGCTGTGCGATGCCTTGGTTGGCATGGAGGCGGGAAATATTGCACCCCGAGGCAGCGATACTTGCTGCCTTGAATCAACCCTAAACCCTAAACCCTAAACCCTAAACCCTAAACCCTAAACCCCCCGCGCCCCCACGCCTTCCTGAACAGTTGCAATGCCGTCGATGCCTGGGCGCTTGGTGGCCGGTTTGGGGTTCGGGACCCCCGCTTGGAGGTTCATGGTACCTATGAACCCAATTGTAACGATACTTCCAACCCTAGACCCTAAACCCTCACCCCAAAACCCAAAACCCTAAACCCTAAACCCCCCCCTGTAGTCCCCAAGACTGCATACACCACAGACAGCCAATCTGGGAGTTTACGAAAAAAAGGGGCCCCCTGTAAGCGACCCCAAATAGTAGGACTCCCCAAACCCCAAATCCTAAACCCTAAACCCTAAACCTCAAACCTTAAACCCTAAACCCTAAACCCTAGACCCTAAACCCTAAACCCTAAACCCTAAACCCTAATGTCATGTGTGTGCCCGGTTGGGGAGGTCCCCGTCCCGCTTGATCTCACGGTCCACTTCCGTGGAAACTCCCTGATGAAGGAGCTGCTGCCCTTCAGCCGCTTTGCCAGGTTTATCAGGGCGGGGGGCAGAGGGGGGGGGGGTTTAGGGTTTGGGTTTTAGGGTTTACGGTTTAGGGTTTGGGGTTTAGGGTTCTGGGTTTTTGGGTTTTTGTTTAGGGTTTAGAGTTGAGGGTTGAGGGTTTAGGGTTTAGTTTCAGGGATCATCGGTTTTTTGGGTTTCCGGGGTAAGCTGGAACCCAGGGCAGGTGTTCCCTTTTATTGCGGGTTTTCGGTTCCCTTATGAAGGCCTCTTCCAGCAAAGGGCAGCCTTGCTGTTTCTAAGTTACTCTTGGCCCTCAGAAGTCGGTGCCCTGAAGCCCTGAAGCCCCAAACCCTAAGCCCTAAACCCTAAACCCTAAACCCTAAACCCTAAACCCTAAATTCGCTTCCCGAAGCCAGCGGGTTCAATGCCTTGAGGTGGCATGGCCGATCTTCAGCGGTCGGTCATGAACGCTTTCAAGCAGGCAATGGAGCTGCGCATGCCCTTTCGGGTTTAGGGTTTAGGGTTTAGGGTTTCGGGTTTAGGGTTTAGGAAAGTTTAGGGTTTAGGGCAAGAATGGGGGGGGGGGCCTACAGAGATGCAAACTCCAAAGCCCCAGGCTTTGCTACTTTAAGAACACATATATATGTATATACACATACAGAATGTATTGTAAATTTTAGTAGATATAAAAACACAGCATGCTACTGTATTACCATGCCAGGCCATCTTCTTGGAAGTGGGCTCCGCCTCGCGCTTCATGCGCTTGGAGAAGCAACCCGCCTGCAAGGAGCACAGAGACCGCAGTTTGTGTTTCGATCTGTTAACTTTTAAGTTGGGATGTTCCACTTTATCCTAACAGTCCTTAATACGGATCATTGTATAGTCCCAATTAAGGACTGTTAGTAAAAGGGGGAACATCCGATTCTTTAAGGTTTGTCGGGCATGGAAAGTCCCGTGAAACGCACAACCCAAAGAGGCCCGAAACACGAAGCTGCAGTGAGGAAGGAGCACATGATGCTCTGGGATGCGATACTTCGGAGCGACATCAAGAGCTTTGCCCAAGTGGAGGCTTGGTAGCCCCGTGGTAACCCTTTACATTTGTTTTTGGGTTCTGGGTTCCCTTATAAAGTAGCCAACCCAAAAAAGAGTGCCCTGATTGTAACATGGTTGCTGGGCTGCCAAGGAGGAAAGGCTCATGTGCAGCACGCTCCTGGAGTGCAAAAGTCTGGCCGTGCGGCTTCATATCTCTGCGCCTGTGCATGGAGACGAGGCACATCCCCTCACGACAAAAAGAGAGGTTTTTTGTAGAAAATCGGGGACCCCCCAATATAGATCCCCAAATTTGTAGGCTCCCCTTATAACAAGGATCCCAGTAAGGTACACACTATATCGCAAACCTTAAATCTACAAGTCTTAAGACACTAGCCCCAATCCTTTAAAACCTAAAGCCCACCTCAACTCTTCTCAACCATGGCTGTAACCCTAAACCCTAAACCCTAAAAGTGATGAAGCCGGTCCTGCCTTGAATTACGTTCCGACCCCCACCCCCTCTCCAGGTGCTGCTGCACAAGGCGCCGGAGAGCACCGGTGCGATGCATGGTTCAGGGTACCCAGAGAGGTTTAGGGTTTAGGGTTCAGGGTTTAGGGTTTAGGGTTTAGGGTGTAGGTTGTAGGGTTTAGGGTTTAGGGCTTAGGGTTTAGGGTTTCGGGTTTAGGCTTAGCGTTTAGGGCTATTCTTTAAACCATATAAGGAACCCTTTCATATGTTAAGGCATATTTCTTCATTAAGGGGGAGTTTTTGGAGTCCCTGGGTACTATCCCAATCCTGTAGCTAAGAGAATCATCTTTGGGAATGTCTTTCATGAGGGGTTTTCAGGGCCACCCTGGTAACTCAGGCTCCTGAAGTTCAGGGTCTAGGGTTAAGGCTATCGAAAAGCATGACCCCAAACCCTGAACCCAAAACCCTAAATTCTAAGCCCTAAGCCCACAATGTCGGGCTGCTTCTTGCCCACTCGGGTCAAGTAACCCCAGGGTCGAAGAAGGCGGCAGACATTGCTCAAAGGTTTTTTTGAAGTCAAGCAAACATCACTTGGACCTGAGGGTCCTTATGAACCCGAACCCATCACTTCTTGTCAGGGGTCCAGGGTTTAGGGTTTAGGGTTTAGGGTTCAGGGTTCAGGGTTTGGGGTTTAGGGTTCAGGGTTTGGGGTTTAGGGTTCAGGGTTCTGGGTTTAGGATTTAGGGTGAAGGCTTTGAGCTCTTTGTTTTCCCTCCTCGGAGGCCCCTGCTCTGGACGAGTCTGGAGCAGCCTTCACTGTGGGGGCCTTCCTAGCCTTGGCAATGCCGCCGCTGCTCAGTGCGAATGGCGATGGCCTTGCGGAGGGAGTTGAGGTGCCAGGGGTTTAGGGTTTAGGGCTTAGGGCTTAGGGCTTAGGGCTTAGGGCTTAGGGCTTAGGGCTTAGGGTTTAGGGTTTAGGGTTTAGGGTTTAGGGTTTAGGGCACAAGCCGGCATTGCCAGCCAGAGAATTACGCAAAGAAACGTCGTAAGCCAAGATGTGTGGTCATAGATACCCAAATAGACTATAAAATACCCCAAGTTGCAAGATGCCGATTCTAATGTCAAGGAGGCCTCTACGTCAGAGGCTTGCAGCGTTTTCAGGCATGTTTGGGGCGGCTTCGGGGGATGTCGGGGCTTCGTGGCGTGCTGCGCTCCATCACAGTATGTTGCCAACTTACAACCTATCACCCGAAGTGCCCGAAACCCTCAACCACCCTAAAGTCCTAAACCCCAAACCACAACAAACCCAAACCCCTCAACCCCTGCCCCCACCCCCCCCCCCCCCCCCCCACAAAAAAAACAACAACAACAACAAAAAAGAACAAGCAAAAGCCTCAACACCTTGAAGCCCCCGAGCCTCCACGAGCTCGCGCTACAAAGCGGAACCCTCAGCCCCAAAAATCCCAAAACCCCGAAACCTACAAAACCCCCAAATCCAAAACCCAAAACCCCTAAAAGCCCCAAACCCCCAAAACCCCCCAAACCCCAAAACCCCAACCCCCCCCCCCCCCCAAAACCCCAAAACCGCGAAAAACCCAAAAACCCCAAAACACACCAGAATAGCCTGGAACCCGAAAAACATTCTCACGTCTGGCTGATGAAGCCCACAGGTGCTGACCCAGGGCCTGACGCCGGGCTTCAGTTTTGGGGTTTTGGGGCTCTACGGTTTAGGGTTCAGGCTTGGGGTTTGGGGCTCCCGGGTTCAGGGTTTCGGGTTTAGGGTTAGGAAGTTAGGGAAGTTGGTTGTTGCCACTGTTCTGCTGGTTGGGGGTGCTATGATGATTCTTGTTCAGTGTTATTCTTATATCCTTGATGTTGTTGCTTCTGGCGGAGAAGGAGGGAGGGAGGCGTGAAAGGAGGGTGAATTGTGTGGTCGAGGTCGTGGTCGTGGTCGTGTTGGTCGTGGTCGTCGTGGTCGTCGTTGTCGTTGTCGTCGTGGTCGCGGTCGTCGTGGTCGTGAAAGTCGTGGTGGTCGTGGTCGTTGGTCGTCTTCGGGGTCGTGGTCGTGGTCGTCTTCGTGTTCGTGGTCGTGTTCGTGGTCGTCCTCGTGGTCGTCCTCGTGGTCCGTGATTGTCGTCGTGTCGTCGTCGTCGTCGCCGCCGCCGCCGCCGCCGTCGTCGTCGTCGTCGTCGTCGTGGTCGTCGTCGTCGCCGCCGCCGCCGTCGTCGTCGTCCTCGTCGTTCTCGTGGTCGGCCTCGTTGTCGTCCTCGTGTCGTCGTGGTCGTGCGCGGTCTTGGTCTTAGTATTCGTCGTGCATGGTCTTGGTATTGGTCTTGGTCGTTGTCTTGGTCTTGCTATTGATCTTGGTTCTTGTTGCTGTTGCTGTTGCATTTGTTTTGTTTTTTGTTTTGTTTGATTTGTTTTGTTTTTGCTTGCATACAGGTTTACATCATAGTTATATTGTTGTCTTGCTTTGGGTATTTCAGGGGTTGGCGGTCCATGCTTTCGCGCTGCTGTCAGTGGGGTCAGGTGTGGACTGCAGGTTGCAAAGAAAAGGACTCCTATGCCTCAAGAGCGACACCCTAAACCCCAAACCCTAAACCCCAAACCCCAAACCCTAAACTAAACCCTAAACCCTGAGCCCTAAACCCTAAACCCTAAACCCTAAACCCCAAACCCCCAAGCCCTAAACCCTAAACCCTCCCAGCGTTCGGAGACACCCCGAGGATGGTCCCGTTGGAGACGCCCCTGTACTGGCTCTCTCTGCACGCCGGCTACATGGATCACTTTGTGCATTTGAGCCTCGGAGCTTTTCCTTATGAGGGTTTAGGGTTTAGGGGTTTAGGGTTTAGGGTTTAGGGTTTAGGGTTTAGGGTTTAGGGTGTTCACTTTGTGCGTTTGAGCTCGGAGCTTTTGCCTCCTTTGCACCGGGTTTGGGGTCGGCGGACAAGTATACTGCAGGCACGTTGGGGGTTTAGTATGGTTTAGGGTCTAGGGTCTAGGGCTTGGGGTTTATGATTTAGGGTTTACGCTTTAGGGTGTAGGGTTGGTTCGAAAGACTTCTGGCCTTATGATTCTCTTGTCTTGTGCCTCGGCCCCACATGCCCTACTCCCTCACAGGATTGCCCGGGTGCCGGAAAGCTTCCTCAAGCCAGCCTGTGAGGGCGATGCCTAAATCGGGCTTTGAGTACGGCTCTGGGCTTGGAGGGGACAACAGGCGAAAAACTCTGGACAAATGTATGCTGTGGAAAGACCTCCGTTTGAGTTCACATGCTGAATCTCGTTCGTGGTTGATATTGGCCTTCCATGGTCCAGAGCTGACATGTTCCAAAGTCGTGATTGCAAAGCCTTGTGCCAGCTTATGGCCGTGATGTACATAGATCCGATGCTGGAGATGACTCCTTTCGCTCGTGCCAGCAGCTTTGGTGGTTGGCCTTGCAGCCACCAGAAGGACGAGCGCAAAGTGCCAGGCCTCGTGCAGGAGTGAGTGCACAGAGCGATGCTTGGAGGAGAAATGGAGTTTAGGGTTTAGGGTTTAGGGTTTTAGGGTTTAGGGTTGAGGGTTAGAAACCTACACCTCACGGCTTTGCAAAGCTGACGTGCTCGACTTGCCATGCTCAAGCGTACACACGCAACACACACGACAAAGATGACTGTGTACAGGACCATGTCGCATGTAGCATCTGTACCTACAGTCAGAGCTCTTGCTCTTCACGCCGTTTTTTTTTGTAGCCCTCATGGGTTCTTGCAGCTTGTGATTCATAGCAGAGCCGGGCTGATGAATCCTTGCTTCGTGCAAGCCACCATAAGCCACCACATATGAAGCAGGGTTTATATTACTGCTATTGGTGAGTGTATATAAGGCTCCTCTTTAATATTGGTGGGTGGATATACTTGGTGTCCTCTTGGGGGTACAAGAAATATATACCCTACTTCATATATACATGCGACAGCGCCCTGCAGACATGCATGCGACACAAAGCCTTAAAGCCGTTCAATAAGCTCGTGGCACCAGCCATGGGTGCCATCCGTTAGATTGCAGATGCCATGGCCCAGTCAGCCACGACCTTAGTGCGCTTTGCTCCTTGCAGAGCAAAGCTCGCCATCCGCTGCCAGTCTTGCAAGAAACCTTCAACAAAAACTCAGAACTGAAACCCTTAAACCCTGAAGCTCCCAACCCCCCCCCCCTCCCCCTAAGGTTCGGGCCATGGGCATGGCTGAGGAGACCGAGACACAGCCTGAAGTGAAGGATGGCCTGGAGGAGGAGGATGAGGAGGAGGACTACGCGGTAAGGTTTTTTTTTTTCTTTGGCGGGGGGGGGGGGGGGGGGGGGGGGGGGGGGGGGGTGGGGTGGGGTGAGGGGTTGAAGGAGGACGTTGTATGCCCTTGCTCGGCTTAGGGTTCCAGGGTTACTTTGCAGGGGTTACTTGGAGGACCGGGGCACTCAGCAAATGGGTTCTAAGTACCTTAATTGGGCTTATATGCAGTTATAAGTATAGCTACCTTACTTCTAACCCCACGTACTAAGTCCCCTGAGCCTTAAGTAGTCAAGGATGATTGGGCTTAGGGTTGAGCGTATTGACATCTCCGACCGTTTAGCTACAACAGGCCCGCCCGATCTCTCCACCCACCCCAAACATCACGCAATGCTTCAAGACCAGGGCATAGCGCCCTCGGGAAGACGCTAACCCGAAGCCCTAACCCGCCTAAACCCAAAACCCGAAGCCTTGGACCCCCTAAATCCTACACCCTAACCCTAAACCCTACACCCTACAGCCTAAACCCTAAACCCTAAACCCTAAACCCTAAACCATGAAGCCTTGACCAGGAAGACTTGCGGAAGAATCCGCCCCTACCCGGTCATGTGGACCACCGCTGTACAGTCGCTTGGGCCAACCTCAGGGTTCCCGATCCCACACCCTGTTTGCGGTTTAGGGTTTAGGGTTTAGGGTTTAGAAAGGAACTCCTGCCATTGTACTATAAGAACTTGCTCTGAAATATCCACTGAGTGGTCGATCTCTGGAAGATTCGGGGAAGCTCATCCGAAACCCGAAACCCGAAACCCGAAACCCGAAACCCGAAACCCTAAACCCTAAACCCTGGGAGATTCGGAAGCTGAGGACGTCCCTTTTCTGTTGTTCTTCCTGCTGGTGTCAGCAGGCCACTTGGAGAGCCGCTGGAAGAAATATAGGGGCCTGAATAATTAGAATATGGTTTTGGGAGTTTAGGGTTTAGGGTTTAGGGTTAGAAAGGGGTTTGGGGGGGTTATTATAGTAGAACTATATAGGGATCATAAGGGCATACTCTTCGTACTTCTTCCGAACCCTCTAGTAGGCCGCTATTGAGGGCCCTGAGTGTAGCTCTCCTTAAGCAGACACGGAGCTCCCGGTTCCACGAAGAAGGACTCCGGAAGGCTGATGGCTCTAATGCCCTAAACCCTAAACCCTAAACCCTAAACCCTAAACCCTAAACCCTAAACCCTAAAGCCTAAACCCTAAACCCTAAACCCTAAACCCTCAAAGATGCCCAGCAGGATCCACTAAAGTAACTCTTCGGCATTTGGGGTTCAGGGTACTTGGAGGTTCATGGTCCTCAACAACCCAACTGTAGCTGGATTTACAACCCAATTATAACCATATTGGGGCACCTAAAGGGCTTATAAGTGGGTTATCAGTTTCTTGGGTTACAAGTACCATGAACCGCCAAGTAGCGGATGCGCCCTCACTGGATGCTGGGATTCTGCAGGCGTTTTCTGGATCAGCTACGATGCCATCAAGCACGGCAACGTCCGCAAGCTTGGGCACGGGTGCGCCCCCCCCCATCCTCCCTCAGACTTCCCCAGTCCCTCGCAGACCTAAACCCTAAACCCTAAACCCTAAACTTAAACCCTAAACCCGAAACCCTAAACCCTAAACCCTAAATTCTAAACCCTAAACCCTAAACCCTAAACCCTAATCCCTAATCCCTAAACCTTAAACCCTAAACCCTAAACCCTAAACCCTAAAACCCTAAACCCTAAACCCTAAACCCTAAACCCTAAACCCTAAACCCACCCCCCCCGCCCCCCTCCGCACCCCTCCAGATCGCCCCCTTCTCACCCCCCGGGGCTGTCCTTGAGACTCTGTCAGTGCTGGAGCGATTGCAACAGACGCTGCGCCCCTCCACTTGTGTTTAGTTCTTCCGGTCTCCTTTCGTACAAATAATTGAGCTGCTTCCTAAGTTCACAACTTGCTGGGTTTAGGGCTTGGGGTTTAGGGTTTAGGGTGTAGGGTTCTATCTACAGCTCATTCGCAGTTCTCTTCTGATGAGAGTGCGCTTTGAGCGTGACAGTGGCCAGGTACAACAAGGCCGCCAAAGTGTGCAAAGCCGCTCCAGCCACGGATTGCGCCGTTGCGACAGTCATTCGTGCGGCACATGTATATGACCAATGGCTACTGCTGGCAACATTCAAGAGCCATAAGTCTGTTTCAAGCATTCTCAGACGTTGTGAAGTGCCGTGCGAAGGCATGCACGAACCAAGCACAAAAAGCTTATCAATAAGCTCACAGAAAGCTCAAAGGCCCAGGTTGTGTGCGGCATGTTCCGCTTGCTCTGGTCCGAGCATGGCACTCTCAATGTTAAGGGAATCCCCAAAAGGGTACCACGGGTTTAGGGTTTTGGGTTACCGCTATTCTCCTAAAGCCTTACAACCTGGGGGGCCCCGCCAGGATGTGGACTTCAGTGATGGCAAGGTTTTCTGGTGCGCCCTGTTGGGGAATCTTCAGGGGTTGAGGGTTGGGGTTGAGGGTTTTGTGTCTTCATTGGCGGGTCCTGCTGGGAGGTGCCTCAACTCCACAGAGAATGGCCTGATGTTGGATGTCCCGATTTGTGTGCCGAGCTGTCCCATCAGTGCCGGGCCCCCAGCTGGAAAGCAACTTGCCGTTGTTCAAAATACCCGTCCCGAAAATACCATCAAACGTACGGATGGTTCACTCGGTAGTAGGTTTAGGGCATTTGGGGTTGAGGGGTTTAGGGATCCTTATCCCAACGGTTCATCCCTTGAAAGGCCTCTGTTTGCGACAACCACCTTCCATGACGAGCCTCTGCTCTGAAGGAGGCCACATACATATGTAGCAGTGAAGGGGGCGGGACACTGCATGTGACATACCCCGAATTTGACGCAGAGCCTTCCATGAGAAGCTTGGGATCTTTCTGGGACTTCTTGTAGGCTCTCGTGTCAGACTCCTTGAAACCGTCACGCCGAGTCTCAGCAGCAGAACAAGTGCTGGGACAGTTCCCAGAACGCGTACCGCATGGCCCAGGCACGGCCGGACGGCGCAATCACCGGAAGGTTTGCGGGCTTTTCGGGTTCAGGTGTAACTAGGGGCGTTTTATCGAGGGTTCCTGGTTTGGAACAGCTCTCTACCTGCGTCGCTGATGCAAGGAGCTTCGCACTCAATGGAGGTATTGGGTAAGTAGCACAGCAGACCGGGAGTGGGGGAGAATCTGATCGTGCAGGACTATCCCAGCCGCGCTTTCGGGTACTTCTGCAAGCCCTTGGGGCCAGAGCTAAAGCAGCAGGCCTGATATGGGTTTAGGATCTTTAGGGCTTAGGGCTTAGGGTTTAGGGGAGTGGCCCCTATGAGCTTATGGTCAGCAGTGCAACTGTTTCACGCGTTAGGACATCAGGGAGGCTTCATCTCCAAGTACAAAAGGTTCGTTCAGAACCGGGCGTTGGGACATCCTGACACCAGTAAACCCCCTAAACCCTAAACCCTAAACCCTAAACCCTAAACCCTAAACCCTAAACCCTAAACCCTAAACCCTAAACCCCCTTCAACCTAATGTCAGACCACCCTAGAACAGGGAGAGAGCCACGGGAGCTCCAAAGTCCAAAAGTCATGTCAATGGCCTATAGGAGGGACCCTTATAAGGAACCTTAGGGGTTATTCTAGGGGTTTATTGAGGGGTTATTTGGGGGTTATTTAAGGGTTATTTAGGGGTTATTCAGGCGTTATTCAGGGGTTATTTAGGGGTTATTTAGGGGCTACTTGGGTATATAGGGGCCTCCTCGTGCTAGTTTCGGTCCGCAGCGAGAGCACTCCGGTTGTGGCAGTTTCGGTCCGCAGCGAGAGCACTCCGGCTGTGGGTGCCGCGGCAACATCGACCTAGAGCCCCTCTAACCCTGCGTTAGAACCCCCTCAGTGTAGACACACTGTTTGGGAATCATTCCCATCTTGTATATTGAATGTACATTACCGGTGTATTATCGTGGGCCAATGGGTTGTGCAAGGAAATTCCTTATATTGGTTGGTGGTCTCTTCAAGTAGGGTTCCTGTTTTGTAGGGGGTTCTTATTAGGGTATCTAGGGGCTACATTAAGGTATGAGGGTAAACCCTAAACCCTAAACCCTAAACCTTAAAGAGGTCACGGGCCTTTATAGGAAATTCCTGAAGTTGCCTGGCAGATCAAGTCCTTCGGCTTCGACCAAGACAAGGGACCGATCCTCAGGCCCGATCACTTCGGGAGAGGGGTTTAGGGTTTAGGGTGTAGAGTGTAGGGTGTAGGGTTTGGGGTTTAGGGCTTAGGGTTTAGCAATCGCAAACCCCTGGGTCCAAAATGTAGAACCCCCCAAGTAGTGCCCTCTACTATTGGGTCATCCTTGGGGTTGCTTAAGGAGATCTGCTTTTGGTTTGCTCCTCCCAGGGCTGGGATGAGGAGTGATACCTGCACGATTCTGATGAGTTTGCTTTCGAAGGCTCCTTTCAACAGCCTTTCATTCAGTTCTTGATACCCTAAACCCTAAACCCTAAACCCTAAACCCTAAACCCTAAACCCTAAACCCTAAACCCTAAACCCTAAACCCTAAACCCTAAACCCTAAACCCTAAACCCTAACCCAACCCTCCTGCAGGCTCTGGGGCGTCCTTTCCAGGACCTGGTTCGTGCTCGTGATGGCCGCTGTGGTCACAGGGTTCATTGGGTGCGCCATGAGCCGGTACTTGGAGGTTCATGGTACTTCATTAGCCAATATAGGGTTTAGGGTTTAGGGTTTAGGGTTTAGGGTTTAGTTGGAGGTTCATGGTACTTAATATCCTACCATTTGCTTGAGAACCCCCACCCCCAAAAAAAACAAAACTAAAACAATAGTCCCCCTACTACCCTTATAAGGAAGAATGTTTTCTTTTTTGGGGGTTCTTTACTCAATTCGTAGTAACCCAGTTATCACTGTACTTATGGCCCAATTATAACCGCATTTGGGCACGTTTAGGGCTTATAACTGGGTTATACGTGCAGTGATAACTGGGTCTTTAAGTACCATGAACCTGCAGGTAGATCTCTCACATTCATGTGCTTCTTGGGGGTGCCATTTGCAATATGGGCCATTGCATTTAGGGGGCCCGACAAAGCGCGGCGTTGGGTTTCTTGGTATTCAGAGTTGTTGTTAGCACCCCATTATCGGCTTAATTTTGGGGGGATATAAGGCACCTATTTTCTTCTAGGACCGGGAGTAGGCCCTTTTTCCTTTTTTTAGGGTTGGGGTTCCTTTATAATCCCCTTAAAACCAAAAAGGGTACCCGTTTATTCCTAGGTTACTCCCGGGTCTAGTTCCTCAAGAGCTCAAAAGGTTTGGGATGCAAGCACGGAAGATATTCGCCCAGAGTTTGGCTGGCAGCCTTCGTCTGGGTTCAGGGCTTCTGGGTTCAGGCCATAGACCCGAAACCCTAAACACTGAACCTTACACCCTAAGCCCTAAACCCTAAACCCTAAACTCTGAACCCTAAACCGGCATCTGTCAGGTACTGCTACATCTTGCTACTCTTCATCAGCCCGGATGTCGTGGCGACGTGGTGCACGATCATACTGACTGTCTTGCCGATAGGTTGGAGCCCCGGATGACTCGGATGTTTGATAGCATGAAGAGGACCAAAAACTTCTCTCCGGGCCACAGCCGTCTTCTACGCAGCACGGAGTAGCACGGTTTAGGGTTTAGGGTTTAGGGTTTAGGGTTTAGGGTTTAGGGTTTAGGGTTTAGGGTTTAGGGTTTAGGGTTTAGGGTTTAGGGCCCGTTTCTGCTACTCAGTGCCGAATTGGGCTACTCAGTGCTGAGTTCGGCTGCAGTAAGGCACCGGTGCGTGGATCGTCTACACCACTGCGAACCCAGGACTGCCGAAACCCTGAACCCTAAACCCTACACCCTAAACGTCCATGTGCCTAGATAGGGAATACTTGGGCCTTAAAGTACCTCCTAAAAAAAGCACTTTGGGGCCCAAGTACATGATAAGAAGGTATATGGGCGGTTGTCAGAATTATGGTCCCTTTTTGGATCCCTATTATCATACGGCACCTCATATTTCGGGTACCCCAAAAGGGATCATAATTTTGACAACCCCCCATACGGGCCCTTAGAGTCAGAGCATGGCCTGGAGTTTCAAAGAGCACCGGCCCATTGCTGACGCACGGGAGGCTCTGCGCTGGCCATCTCCTTCCTGGAAGATTCCGAGTTCTCCACCACGGAGAGATATGTGGCAGGCAGCCCAACATGAAACTGGCATCCTAAATCCCTCAGTCCTAAGTCGGATTCAGGGCTTAGGGCAAGATCAGATCACACGAGCGCGATATGGACACTGGACAGACAGACACAGACAGACACAGACAGACACTGACAGACACTAACAGACACACCCTAAACCCTAAACCCTAAAGCCTATAGATATACTCATACACTTATGTAGACACAGTAGTTTTTTGGATGCTTTTGCCTCTTGACGCAGCGCTGGGGTCCAGTTGCAGGTGTGGCTCTCCTCGTCGCCGGTGGGATTGCCTCCTTCGTCGCCGTGCTGGCTGACGTTGTGGGATTTAGGGTTTAGGGTTTAGGGTTTAGGGTTTAGGGTTTAGGGCGCGGGATGTTGGGATTTAATTTGGGGTTTCGTCTGATAGCTCAGCATGTAGGACGATTTGCTGAGTGTTGCACCCCGCTGTAACTTCGACTGGATGTATGGCGAGTTCGCTACGAACTCTGAGAGCCCTGCAAGTTTGATTGCTTGGCGAGTGTGTGTGCCTTTCATGGAGCACTACGCGTTAACGTTGGGGGGTTCCGCCTTTTCCTAGCAAATGCTTAGTAGGGATTGGGGGTTACTATAAATCCTATTAAGGACTGTTAGTATAAGGGGGGGGCATCCCAAGGTTTAGGGTTTGGCTACTTGGGGCGCGGAGCATGAATGAAACTTGCAACTTGCACTCGATCTTGTGCAGGCACCTAACACTGAGTGTGGAGTGAGCGCCCGCTGTTGGTGCGGTTTGTGGTTCATCACCCTAAACCCGAAACCCTAGAGCCTAAACCCGAAACCCTAAACCCTAGTAGAGCTGCGTCTTGAGCTTGCAAGCGCTGCTGCACCCAGATTCCGCCAGGCATCGGGACAGCGGAAGTACATTGAGGCCACTACTTTCTGTCTGGACACCGCGGGCGACTGCTTGACAGAGGAGATGCACCATGAAACGGCCATGCATCCCCTAAACCCTAAACTCTGAACGATTATGAGCCTCATTGTACTACCCACACCCAAAACCCAGAACAGGGGCTGGTCTCATGGTTGGTGGTCTTTCAACGCGCAGACTGGTGAGTTCAGGGCTCATGTAGGCAGGATGTGGTTGGTGCACCTTTTATGTCCTAAACAGCCCGAAGCCCTCATTCTAACAAGGTTGTGTAGGATGCTGGGGTGCAGCAAGTACGCTGCTTCTCAAGAAGTGTTTTGTTGTCGCAGCACTCGTGACCTTTATGATGCTGTGTCTTTGGCTGTGCTGAAGCTGCAGTTTGGCACATGCTGTACGTGTTCCAGGTTGTGCCATCCCTCTTCCTGAGGGATGACTGGCAATGATACTCTAGAACTTCTGGTAGAAGAAGAGTCAGCATAGGGATGCACGACAGCTGCTTGATATTGACGACGGCAAAGTGGTACCAGCAGACCCCAAACCCTCGACCCTACTTGGAGCATCGGGGCACTTAGTAAGTAGGGTTACAAGTACCTGAATTGGGCTTATAAGCAGTTTTAAGTACGTATAGCTACCCCCACCTACTAAGTCCCCTGATCCTTAAAGCTTTTACTGTTGGTTCGTAGGGACTACTCTTTAAGGGATTATAGGGATTATATAGGGTACCTCATTCCCTCATTCCCTACTAACCAACAGCAAGTTATAAGCCAGACAGGAGTGGAGCATCCTCCTGGAGCCACTCATATCTGTCGCTGCCAAGGCATGTCTCGATGGTTTTCGCTCATAGCGGCTGCCCCATCGCATTCCCTTAGGGGTCCCTCTTTAGTTATACTACAGTACCCCCCCCCAAAAAAAAAATCTTACGGATAGTATTCCCCTAGACCCCCCCCCCCCCCAAAAAAAAAAAAAAAAACCTGTTAAAACATCTTAAGGCGCCCTATATGAACCCACCTTGAGAATCCGAAACCCAAGGAGGAGCTGCCGCTTCTGACTTCCCCAAAGTTCTTGCGCGGCCGGCTCCACCCCCAAAGCCCGACTGTAGGGCCCTTCTTGGAAGTCCCTGGTACTTACTAACCACATAGTATGTACACGTACAACCCAATTAAAACCATATTAGGTTAATTCAGAGGCTAATAAGTGGGTAGTATTGGTTCTGAAGTACCATGAACCTCCAAGTAGCCCTCAAGTTCAAGTCCAAACCACATTTGCAACTGGCCAGAAGTTGCGGGTCTCATACGGAGGGGTTGCAACGACAGATTTTGACGGAGCTGGCCCTGGGTCCGAACTAGCAGCCTCCCTAAACCCTAAACCCTAAACCCTAAATCCTAAACCCTAAACCCTAAACCCTAAACCCAGTTTTGGGCTTCCGAGGGTCGAGAGTGTGCCCGGAGTGAGGGTGCAGCGACCTTGCTCTCGCACGCCGAGCTATGTCCATGAGATAGCAGATGGTCAGTTCCTTGAAAGAAAAACCCTAAACCCTAAACCCTAAGCCCTAAACCCTAAACCCTAAACCCTAAACCCTAAACCCTAAACCCTAAACCTGCTCCACTTGTCGCTACAGCCTCCGATCTGCAGATGCAACAGGTCTGCCTTACAGCGCTGGGCTTCTTTGTCCTCTTCAACCTGGCATCGATGTCTGTTGCACGTCCGGCCTGCCTTGCAGTAGCCATAAGCAAAGCCGTTTGTGGAAATCAAGGCTCCTACAATCACATACGTACCACATCGCATTTCCCCAGCCATATTATGGATGGGCCTGAATACTTGGTGTCGGCATTTTGTTGGAATCTTCTGGTCGCCAGGTCGAAAAGGACACCGCGATTGGAGAAGCGCTGGAGAAAGAGCGGTACATCCAATGGAGCACCCAGGCCCGCGAGTGAACTTAAGCTCGTCGGTGAGAATACCTGGAGGATCGTGGCACATAGTAAGTAGGGTTCTAAGTACCTTAATTGGGCTTATAAGCATTTGAAAGTATAGTTACCTTACCAGGAAGCTGAACAGGCTTCTCCCCTCTTCTCACGGGTCTGGAAGCCTGGATGCTGCTTGTTTCGACCAGGAGAAGTGTAAGCTGTTCTTCTTTCTGATTTATCTGGTCTGGTTGGAGGAGGCCGGAGCTTTTCTGTGAGAGGGCGCAGAGTTCTTTGCCATGTGCATGCGAGATATCGTGAAGAACCGTTACCTGCATAGCCTGCGGCTGCGAGTCCCACGGGTTTGTTCTGACACCCAGCGGGAGTGAAGGCTGTTGTGGCAACATCGCGTTATGTGATGGTCCAGGCTGTTGTGGCAACATCGCGATATGTGATGGTCCCGACCTCAGTCGAGGGGCTCTGCATGGAGAAACACGAAGGTACCCCACATCGGACATGTCCATCTTCAAGTGGCAGGTAGGCGTTCTCTGTGCTTCTTATGGGTGTCCCCATCTTCCTAGGCCTATGCCACAGAAGTCTGGTACTTCACCGAGCCAGACGATGAGGGGTCGGGGGCTGTGTCTGTCGTTGCAACGGTCGTCAAAATCCCTAAACCCTAAACCCTAAACCCTAAACCCTAAACCCTAAACCCTAAACCCTAAACCCTAAACCCTAAACCCTAAACCCTAAACCCTAAACCCTAAACCCTAAACCCTAAACCCTAAACCCTAAACCCTACCAAGGCGTCGGCAGCGTTCCTTTACGTGCTTGCTCGTCGAGGCCAGGTCAAGCCTTGGGTGCGGTGATCTACTCGGAGGTTCATGGTAACCTTAGGGTTTTAGGGTTTTAGGGTTTTAGGGTTTTAGGGTTTTAGGGTTTTAGGGTTTTAGGGTTTTAGGGTTTTCGGGTTTTAGGGTTTTAGGGTTTAGGGTTTAGGGTTTAGGGTTTAGGGTTTACGGTTTACGGTTTACGGTTTCATGGTACTTATCAACCCAATCATAACTGTACTTATAGGGGTTTGGGGTTTAGGGTTTGGGGTTTAGGGTACTGTACCTATCACTGTACTTAACCATATTACGGGCTTCTAAGTGGGTTATAAGTACAGTTATAATTGGTCAGAAAGTACCAAGAACCTCCAAGTACAGGTTCAGGCTTCAACGGCCAGACAGCTAGGTTGACCTTTGGGTTTAGGGTTTAGGGTTTGGGGGTTGGGGTTTAGTTTTCAACGGGTTCAATGTCAAAGCCAAAAGGTTGCATGGGATATGAAGGCAATGGTCTCAGTGCCACCATCCTGAGTTCACACCTGGCACCTTTGACAGCACCCGCGTTTTGGCCCTCATGTGTGGGTGTCTTTTGGGTTTAGGGTTTAGGGTTTTGGGGCCCAACTTCCGGACAGTTTCTCTAAGTTGTGACATTGGCCCTTGGAGGGACCATAGTCAGTGAACTACCCTCCGGCAGGCTTACTGGAATGTTCTCCGCTACCACGTCGGGAGCACGGCCATGGGTGTCTTGGCAGATAAGCCAATGGTTCATGGGAGAGCTTGAAGAGTGTGGGGTGGGGGGGGGGGGAAAGGGAGGAGGGGAATGAGGGAAGGGGAGACATATCATGACTAGTACATGATGTAATAATAGATTCTGCTGTATGGTACGGTACTATATTCTACATCGCATACTGTATGTCTGATATTTCAAAATAGATGTCCTACATATGTCTCTTAGTACTGTCTTCCATATATGAAGTTATACAATACAATGCACACACACACACACTAATATATGTGTGTATATATATATATATGTATGTATGTATGTATATGTATAGCATTCATTTTCCATAACGTACTTTACACTGCATGAGTACAGTCTAGGGTTTTCTTTGAAGATCTGTGAAGGTTCAGGGCTTGCTAGCTGTAGTTGGGTTGTAAGCCACATCATAAGCGGGGTAGCCTAGTGAAGGCCAGCTACGGGAATCATCAATAGGATGTTCTCCCTTTCCCAACCAGTTAGGAAAGCCCATGCGCGTTCAAGTAGAGCCCCTTCTTGTGTGCCTGTTCTAGAATACTCCCTAACCTGGACCTAGTAGTAGAGTAGGTAACCTTTACCCTTTCTAGGGTAGTATACTCCCCTTACAATCCCACAGGTTAACCTTTGATTCCCCCAGGTTACTGGACAACTAGGCTAAGAAGGCCCTAAGCCCTAAATCCTAAGCCCTAAACCCTAAACCCTAAACCCTAAACCCTAAACCCTAAATACTCCCTTAGTAAGGGGGCCAATGAGGTAGATCAGCCAGCACATGACCCAGGCTCTTTCATGTACACCTTCGGCCGCATCCCAGCCATGGCTGGGGACCCCAGGGGTTTTAGGGGTTTTAGGGGTTTAGGGTTTAGGGTTTAGGGTTTGGGGTTTGGCGCAACTGGCTGTGTGAGATGGGCACTTTGCCGGAGACAGAAAGCCCAAGCTGTCCGTGACTGCAAGCCAGGTGCTGCGCAACCCTGGCATTGATTGCTGGGCCTGGTGGCTTGATTTTGCAGCCCTACAGGTTTAGGGTTTAGGGTTGAGGGTTTAGGGTTTAGGGCCGCCAGTTCTCCGAACCAACTGCATTGCATTGAGGTGTTGGAACCTGGAGGGTTTAGATTTCGCCACGAAGCTGATGCCCCCTGGCATGGAGACTTCTTAACGCTGCTTAGCGTCCCTCAGCCCTACCTGCCCTTTTTTCGGGCGTTTCGGGTTTTCGGGTTTTAGGGTTTTAGGGTTTTAGGGTTTTAGAGTTTTAGGGTTTTAGGGTTTTAGGGTTTTAGGGTTTTTTTAGGGTTTTAGGGTTTTTTTTTAGGGTTTTAGGTTTTTTTTAGGGTTTTTAGTTTTTTTTAGGGTTTTAGGTTTTTTTTAGGGTTTTAGGTTTTTTTTAGGGTTTTAGGGTTGTAGGGTTTTTGGGTTTTAGGGTTTAGGGTTTAGGCTAGGTCAGGTAGTTTAGGGCTTCAATGTTACGGTTGAGTACTCAACACAACACACCACCGCCCTCCGTGCCAGGGGTTATGCGCCACTGCGGCTTCGGAGCTCAATGTCGCGGGCTTGGTCGGCATACTGCATTCTATTGTTTCTAGGAGATACTCAACACACCCCTTTGGCATACCCCTTAAAATCCTTCCTTATATTCTCCTTATATAGATTAAGGGGTATGGGTTTGGGGTATGGTGGATTATTCTTAGGTTGTAGTGTATCATATAATATTGTGTTGGTCATTGTAGTGTATTGTGTTTCTTTGCGGTATTCCATTTCTTGTCTTTTATGATGATGGTAGATTGTATTACAGTCTGTTGCTTGTCCTTGTACAGCAGGCATCGTACCCACTTCCGGAACTGACATCTAGACATAAGCGCGGGTGGGTGGGTGGGGGGACGTGTGTTCTGCCATGAGCGCTTGATCGTGACGGATGTTCTCCTGACTCTACGGGGCGACGGCGTTCGAGCCAGTGGCCCCTACAGGGCGCAAAGCCCGAGACTGTCATCAGTGCAACACATCTCGCGGCATGACTGATACGACAATGTTATGAGGGGGTGGTGGGCGGCTCGAACAAACATACAAACGAAGGATAGCACATGAGGCTTTCGAGGCAGCTTGCTGCGTGTTGAACCTGTCTAAGGACTTCGCTTGCATGAGAGGTCAGTAGTAGAGGTATGGCAGGCTGCACGAGTTTCTGTGGCGAGAATTGCCATGACTGCAACAGCACGGGCAAGATAAAGTGCTGATCCACCGATCCTGTGCAGAACTGACCTGCGGGCACGGCGAAAGCGAAGAATGTGTTTAGGGCTCTTGGGTTGCAAAATACTTCTAAACCAACACCCAATATTATGTCGCAAATGGCTTTCCAAATTAAAGGAATGAACAACTCATTTGAGGTGTAGAGCGTTTAGGACACGATCATGAGCAGAATACACAGAATATGAGTTCTCACTACGAGTCTCATTCCCTCGCGCCGAGGCTGCTACTTAGATGTCTTGTACAACATGGCTTTCGGTGCATCGGGATCCTTCGCGTGCGCCGCCCAAACTGTGCCTCTTTGCGCGAATCGCCAACCCTTAAACCCCGCGAACGTTTTGGAGCCTTGAAACCGTAAGACAGCCAAGCACTCCGTAGTTTAACTCTGTAGTCCGCCCTAAACGCTAAGCTCCAAACCCTAAACCCTAAACCCCAACCCCGGGCAAAGTTTCCACGAAGTGACCCAAACCCCAAACCCCGGACCCAAGACCCTAAAGCTGAATGCAAGCATCCCAGGACTTAGAACCCGAAACCCCTAAACCCCTCATCAATTGGGGGCTTTCGAAAACAGGGGGCCCTAAAACAGACCCCAAATAGTAGGATTCCCTTCTCATAAGCACCTCAAATAAGGTACACGGTACCCCCAATGTCGGAAACCGTAAAATACCCCTCCCAAGCCCCTAAGGCACCTAAACCCTGAAACCCTTAACCATGCACCCTCGACTGCTCTGCGAAGGGGGGGCCGAGGGACCCATGGCCCCATTCTCGCGGCCATCTTCCCTGACTTCTGAGTCGAGAGCCCCTAGTTCAGAACACCCCCCCCCCCCACTCCTCCGCCCCCGCAAAAGATGACAGGCAATAGGGGGGGGCCCGTTCAGAACACCCCCCCCCCCCCTTCCTTCGCCCCCCCCAAACCCCTTCTCGGTAACCCCGAAGGGCCTTTGCTCGAGGTGCCTGGCTGCAGACTTCCGGCAGCAAATTCGTAGAACCCCAAAACAAACAAGCTCCCAAACCCCGGGTTAAACCGTAAACCCTAAACCCTAAACCCTAAACCTTGAACCCTGGCCCCTCCCGCTGCCAGGTACATGGACCTCCCGCTTACCTCAACGGGCTACTTCCGCGGAGGAGTCAGGGCCCTGCAGGCCGCCGTGGGGTTTGGGGTTTTAGGGTTTAGGGTTTGGGGTTAGGGGTTTAGGGTTTGGGGTTTTGGGGTTTTGGGATTTTGGGGTTTTGGGGATTAGGGTTTAGGGTTTGGGGTTTCGGGTTTAGGGTTTGGGGCTTGGGGTTTGGGGTTTTGGGGCTGCGAAGGCTGAGGGGCTTCTAATTAAGGGAAAGGGGGTTAAGGTTGCACTCGCTGATGAGTGGGGGGTGCCCCAAACACATCTGGCACCCATTTTTGAAGCAGAGAAAACAGCGGTTTGCGAAGGACGATGGACAGGGCTCTTCGTTGCACTTTTCGGGGGGACTGGTAGTGGGACTGGGGTAAGCTTTCGGGAAAAGCCGAGGCAAGAGAAGTAGAGTGCCGAGATGGGGGGGGCACGACGTTTGGTGGACTTCACCTTTGTGAAAAATCGCCTGCGTAAACTTGGCCAGATGTGGGACAGGCCGTGGTCGCCCGGTTCGCCCCTCGCGGCCTCCCTGGCAAGAGCTGGGCTTTCTAAATGATGGGGGACCTCGAACCCGAAGCCTTTGAAAAGGGGAACCCTTATGCTTCGCATTCGGGAAAGATCGTGGGAGCCAAGACGGTCAGTGGGAACCTTCGCAGGCTGTTGGGCGCGACGTGCTGCGCGATGCAACCCGTGGGAGCAGCAGGAGAGTCGACCTAAACTCTCAGTCCAGTGAACTTTGGGACACCCAGCATGCTGCTGAGCTGCATCCATACCACCAGAGACATCCAGGCCATGCTGTACCGGTGCGAAGAGAATATTCGGATTAGTGCAAAGCCTCTGAGAAGTTCAACGTGCATACTTGCAAGCTGTTGCCGGAGCCATGGCACTGCGGAGTAAGCAGCGGGCGTAAGAGTAATCGAGCAGCTCCAAACTCCCAGTCCTGGCCGAATGCATAGGCGTGGGCCCTCCAGAGGTCCCTCGAGCCGCAGTCGAGACTCATCAGTCACCAGCAGAAGCCAGACTTGCTTGAAAGGAGATTTCGGCCGCAACTGCAATCATACCCTACGGGTCCATGTACCTTAGTAGTACATGCTTGGGCCCCAACAGTCCCTATGTAGGAGGTACTTTAAGGCCCAGGAGTTCCCATGAACCCTTAGGGAAATCAAGAACTTTGAAGAAGGCAACCCCTAAACTTTGAGCCCGAAATGCCCCCACATCTCTGTAACAGGCCCTGAGCCCCAAACCCCAAACACGACCCTAAGCCCCAAACCCCAAGGAACTAAGCCCCCAAAACAATCCTGAACCCTAAACCCTAAACCCCAAACCCTAAACCCTAAACCCTATAAACCCTATAAACCCTATAAACCCTATAAACCCTATAAACCCTATAAACCCCCTAAACCCTAAACCCTAAACCCCCTTAAACTTGGCCAGGTCCTGTCGGGCGAGATTGCCAACGTGCACCGGCTCCAAGGTGTGATCTCCTCAGGAAGAGGGGTTGGGGGTTTAGGGTTTAGGGTTTAGGGTTCAGGGTTTAGGGCTTAGAGCTTAGGGCTTAGGGCTTAGCGTTTAGCAAAGTTTTTTTGAGGGGCTGAGTAAGGGCTCGATTCATGGGTTTAGTAAGGGTTTCGGGGCGTCACCGGGTGTCGGGCGTGGGACTGGTTTGGCCGTGCGGTGGTTTGCTGGGGCGTGTTGTCAAGTAATGGCGTCCTTGATGGTTTGGGGGTTCAGGATTGGCGCTTTGGAGGTTTTAGGGAGCTGTTTGGAGGGTGAATGGTAGGGCTTAAAGGGTTTCGGGTTTTGGGTTTTGGGCTTTTTGGGATTTGGGCGTTTTGGGGTTGAAGGGTTTTGAGACCAACGTCGCTCTGCCTCAGCCCTCCACACGCAGATTTGAACCCTGTGAACCCGAAACCTCAAGCCCTTCTGAGCCCCAAACGAATTCTAAACCCTAAGCCCCAGACCCTAAATCCCCGAAATCCTAAACCCCCTGAACCCCCTAAACCCTAAACCCTAAACGCCCCGTGCTGCCAAGGCCCTTTGGATCTTTCATCTCGCCGGAGTTGGTGTCTGCACAGTAGGCGATCAGATCGATCAGTCTATGCGCCCTAAACCACTCTTTCTCTTCCGAAAGCCGTTGCTGTGGGTTCAAGGTTTAGGGCCCTAAGCCCTAAACCCTAAACCTTAAGTTAGGCTTTAAGTGCCTTGTGATGGTGGCTGAAGGGTGGGTTCCCAGACGCTGGCTCCCACCCGCAGCCCAGATTGTTGGATTACAGAGTCATGGACGGAATGTCGGGTTTCGGGTTCAAGTGAGGGGTGCTTTGCCCAGGGAAGTACCGAGAGATCTCTGGGGTCAGACTTTGGGCGCCGCTTCTTTCTCCTGTCCTTAGCTTACTTGTTGCCAGCATTCTTACACCCGGCCCCAGGTCTGCGTAGTGCCTCTGTGAAGGATGCCCTCTGGCCCGAAAACCTTTCACAACCTCCCAAACCCACAGCAAGGCGGCGTGGCAAATATACCACACACAACATCCGTGCATTTCCCCAATTCGGGACCCTGGACTCTACTCAAGAATGATAGAACCCCTATCAAAGGAACCCCAACAACCTGTAAGGAACACCGATCCTGAGCCGTCGGCTGGCAGGTGCTGCTTACTCCATCAATGGGATCATCGAGGTAGCCTGGGCCCCCTTTTTTGGGTTTAGGGTTTGCCCTGCGGGTGTGGAGCTTCGGGCTTAGAGAGTTCAGATTCCAGATTCTTAGAGCATCCCGGGCGCAATGCAGTGGAAATGCGTAGCAGCTGAGAGGAAGGGGAAA